TGCAAATTAGGATACAACATTTAGTCTGTTTTGTCTTTTTCGTTTTAGTTTAGCTGATGGAAATACTCTGAAAATTAAGTGAGAATTTGGTATTATAGCAGTTGATAGACTTCAGTTATCTTTTGTTTGACTTTCAAAAACATCCCTCCAATATATTAACCTCCTTTCCACTTACCAAATGGTAAGACAATAGCAATAAGTGGAGAGGATTTTCTGCATATATCTTATTCTTGCAGTATGGTGATTTTAGGGCCCTCTTTGGTCAGTTGGTTTAAATGGGTTCAAGTTTATATTAGAAATGTCACTCGCTGTTTCAGCTTGTCATATTGTGCATTGCCAGCTGTTTGTTTGTGCCATGGCTTGATTTTGCATGAGTGAGTAATTCCGTTTGGTGGAGGAAAGAGAAAAGAGATTGTGTCTGATGTGGGTTATCACAGGGCTCCACCTTCTCCCTTTTACTCTTTAACAGTTATCTAAAACCATTGGGAGAAGTCATCTGTGAGCACCATCATTGGTATGCTTATGATGCTTGGTTGTTTATCTGCTTCTTGGGCAAATTAAGAGACACCGTCAAAGTTCCATCGTAGTGTCATAAAATCATTAACATAAAAGTTCTACCTTAGTGTCTGAGGGGTGTTGGGATCTGGCTGGAGAGAAACAGGCTTAATGCATACAAGAGCATGGCTGTTGATCAAAAAGCATTTTGACTATAGGGAGGACCATCATTTACTATAAATGGGGTTATGCTCCTCATAGAGGGCAGAATCACAATTGGGAGTTTCCCTGGAGCCTTCTGAAAAAGCAAGTGGAAGCCGTGGCCAGGACACATTTTGTAGAGTTCTGCTTGTGTGCCAGTTGCAGCTTTTTCTGAACTCAGAGGTATAATGACAGCCACTCATGACTTTGGTTATCCCTTGTCTAGATTGTAATTGAATCTACACAGACTACTATACTCATGTCAGACCATTACTGCAAAAGTTGCATTGGTTGGTGATATCCCTGGTACAATCCAAAGTGCTGATTTCCATCTATTGAGCTATATATGTTTGGGACCTGATTATATTTGAGATTGTTCCATGTGGAATCTAATATTTGGCAAAAGCTATAGAACAGTGGTTCTCAACCTTCCTAATGCCGCGATCCTTTAATACAGTTCCTCATGTTATGGTGACCCCCAACCATAAAATTATTCCTAAAACCATTGAAAATATGTGTTTTCCGATGGTCTTAGGCGACCCCTGTGAAAGGGTCATTCGACCCCCAAAGGGGTCGCGACCCACAGGTTGAGAACCACTGCTATAGAATGTGAATGAACTGGAACTCAGGAGCTAGCCTTCTGTTTTTACAGCATTTGTCCCCCTAAAATAGCATACTCTTGGAGACAATGATAACCCCATCCCTTTTGGGAGATGATTAAGAGACGGCTGTTCCATAGGGCATTTGAGGATGGATCAGGTGTATGAATTTGGTTGTTCCTGATTTGATTAAAAAAAGGCTCCAAGTGGAAATAACAAGATGCGTTGTTATTATTTCCTGATTTTGTGTGTGTTTTTAAACTTAATTATTGGAAGTAGGAATTGATAGCCGCTAAGAATTTTGGGACCGAGGTGATAAATTAATTAAAGTAAGATGGAAAAATAAGAGAGAGAAGATTTTAAAATCTATTTTGATTTGCAAATAGTATTGACTGCCATTGAAAAGTATATTTTACAGTGGGAGAAAAAGGGAAGCACAGGGACTCTCAAGCTACACCCCATAGTTTTATGCTTTGTTTATCTTGTATGATCTTAGTAAAAATGCCACAAGGTCCAAATCCTCTCATTTACTCATTTTTTTTTCAGATCAAACATGGATTAATACAGACCATATGGGGGCAGCACTAATGTTCTTCCTGAAAATATGGTATTTTCTAGCTGCATGGCAAGAAAAAAGCATTTGCTGATGGAACATGTCAGGCTCAGGCTTTTTGCCAATTATTTACATTTATTTAGTCTTGTGCTAGTCATTGACTGACTGAAGTTTATCATAATATGCATGTAACTGATTAGTTTTCTTTCTCCTGATTGTATGACTGCCCTCAAGTACAAGTCTTAAGTCTTGAATATTGGGATTCAGTGGCAGAATAAAACAGGAGCAGTACAAGTCATGCATTGGCCTTTTTGTCTCTATCCTGCCGATCTGTCTGTCCTAGCCAAAGTAAGGGGACCTTACAATCAGATTGACAAGGGAAGGGAAGCAATTAAGCCTTTGAAAAAGAAAGTAATGCTCTTAAGAAAAACCCTTCAACCTTTTCTTTTAGACTGCTTTTGTTTCTGGTTGAGATTTGTTAGGCATGATACTATTCCTTGTGAAAAAGCTTTTACTTTAGTTTCTATTTATTCAGGAATAATTTTAGAATGGATCCTCCTTTTGCAAGCAAATTTAGAGCAAAGACTAGGTTGACTGAAAAATCCTAGGATGAAATCCCTTCTGTGGGGATCTTCCTGAATGAGAAACTATATTGGGGGTGAGAAAAGAGAAAGCTCCTTTTTGGCCTCTGGTCTAAAGCTTTCCCTTTAAGACCAGAGGCCATTTGTGCCTTGGATGCCAGCCCAGTTGGTTCCCCTCTCTATAAATGTTGGCTTTTGCTGATAGAACTGAACAGCTAAGCCATTGTATATGTCAAGACCACTGGAGAAAATGCCTGAGTGGTGTTTTATATAGTGTTGTCAGTGTGCTCTCTTTTAGGGTTGCATTTTTTCCCCTCCTTCTCCTCCTCCTCCTCCTTGCAGAGACTTAGTTGTCATGGGAACTGCTGCTCTTCCATCCTGTTGGCACAGAATGGAGAAACCTCCCAATTTTTGAATAGTGTTCTGCCTATCTTTTGTGAGCTGAATGGCACATTTGCAATAATTGTAGATCGTATAATAGTTAAAATAAAAATATCCCCATTACTGAGATAAAATAGGGATTGGAGCTACAACTAACTCAAAGAGAAGCAGGAATAATGTATGTTGACCACAAGGGGTGAATAGGCCATGCAGAACCTTACTAGATTTGTTTTCCTGCTAGATACCGATCAACTAAGAAGAAGAAAAAAAGATAAAAACTCATCAGGGCTAATTGGAATCTTAAGTAAAAGAGGAGCATTTTACAGAAGTTATAAAATAAATGGTTTTATATGTGCTATTATTTTCACCTTCTCTGGACAAATCCACTTTAACAATATGGACTCTGAAAATATCTCCTTGGCAAAAAGGGAGAAAAATGAGCATTGCATTGAGTATAAACCCTGCTCTGACTTGGGACTATTAAGTTACATGGAGAGTTGAAAGGGTGATAGCTTTTTCCCATGTTGATAGAGTAGCAAGGGGGGGGGTCCATTTTTTTTTAATTGTCTTAGCCTTGTAGTACCTGTGGTACAGTAGTTATGAATTTAGGAGCAAACCCAAACATATATTTTTCCTGCTTATTTAATTGCCTATTAGAATTCTGAAGAACTTTTGCAAACCGGATGCCAACTCACCAAAACTAGGGTTTGGGGTTTTTTTGCAAGAGATATTTTTTAGCATTTTGAATGCTGCATATACTTATGTTATCACGTTTGCTCTTACTGTACCACTTCCAGATGCAAAACAAGTCTAAAGTCTCAGCTTGGTTGGCTTTAGTTCTGTATGAGCCTGACTTTGAAAAGAACAAATAAATAAATACAGGCAAGTAGATTTAACTGCAGAAAGATGTCATGCTTTTGTCGCAGGTGCTTACTGTAAAGACCGGCTATGTTGGTGAAAAAAACAAAATCTAATTTTGCCCACTAAGGTTTTTCGTCCATTGGTAAAATTATAAAAATTATAAAGAAAGAAAATGCTAATCTAAACAGAGGAAATGAATTGATAACATCAGGAGCTTTAAGCAGTGATACATTTCTTGGAGATTAGGCAGTGAAAAAATAAAAAGCAACAGACTGCAAGGACTCGTTATTTTAAGTCAACTATATAGATAAATATTTGTATAATTTCTGGCCTGTTCTTATGTTCCTCTGAATCCCAATATGAGTTTTGAAATCTACGATAGAAGCGCATCTGAGTTTCAAATGCTTTGTTTCTAATATTAAACCTGAGAGAGTTCTATGGTGCGGACAGTTCTAACTGCCCCTAGGATGGCATGTGTTGTGTAACATTGTTGTGTGAGCTGCACTAGTTGTTGGTTTGCTTCCTGGTCTAATTCAAGGTATTGATTATCACTTTAAAGCCCTTCGTAGCATGGGGACAGGTTTTATGGGGAATTATGTCACCACAATGGGATTAGCCTACTCCATTTGATCCAACAGAAGGAGCTATGGACTCTGTAGATCAAGGAGTTTTGGCTAGTGGGGTCTAGAAGAGCCTTTTCTGCTGGAGGGAAGGTTTGCCCCCACCTGCATGGATATCAAAATGCTAGTTGTGGATTCTGTGGTATATCATTTACATTATCTGCATAATGCCACTAATGGGTGATTTGTCTTAATTACACTTTTGTCTTTTTTCCTCAAGGCATCTTGATGCAGAAATAGCTTATTCTGCTTTTCCTCACCCCAGTTAACTGCAATCACACATTGCTTACTGGGTAGAACTTAATAATAAAAAGACAAAAATCCTTCTGTATTTCTTGGCCTTTCTATTAACAGTACCTCCTCCCGTCCCATATCTGTCCAATTATATTTAATCTGTCACTTGTAGGTAAATCTACATATTTCCAGTCTATGGAATCTAATGCTACCATGCATCTATAAGTATTTGTAGCGCTGCAGTGATGTTGGTTTAATTTTTTTCCATAATTCTATTATATACAGATAATATGAGAGCTCTTATATTGATTTAAATATACAGATTTGCAACTTCATGAAGATTTCTGTGGTTGTACTGTTGTACTGTGCTCTAGAAAAGCTGTCTGATGTATTATCTCTTCATATTCTCCAGTACTTAACTACTATAATTCCTTAAAAGATATGCTCTTCCTCCCCCCCACTTTTTCCCTCCCAGGATTCGTCCTCAGATGCCAAAGGAAAAGATTGAAGGATGCCACATCTGCACATCAGTGACACCTGGGGAACCCCAAGTACTCCTGGGAAAGGACAAAGCATTTACCTATGACTTTGTCTTTGACCTGGATACTTGGCAGGAACAGATCTATACAACTTGTGTAGGCAAGCTGATTGAGGGCTGCTTTGAAGGCTACAATGCAACTGTGTTGGCATATGGCCAGGTGTGTGCCTTTTTCACTCTCCTCACAGTTTCTGTTATGAGCTTATCTGAATGGGGTTGACTTGGTTAAAGTGACCATGTTTCCTGCTTTATGTAGAGTACTATACTTTATGAGAAATAATTCTCTGAGGGCTTGTCCAATTAAGTTAAGTTTAAAGACAATAAAACCCATCAGAAAAGAGTATGACAACCCCTTAAATCTTCGGCTTTTCCACTAGACGGAGAGGTACTATACCTTTATTTGAAATTTAGTATTTAATTATATGCGTGGAACAAAATATGCACTTTTTATACAATATGGGACCATTTATCTTCCTGTTTAGCATTTCTTCGGGGGGAAGGTGTATAAGGGATAACAATAACTCTTACTTAAGTATGAAGTGGCCTTGTCACAAAGTAAAATAAGGAGGGACTAAGACTGCTTATTTTGAAGTGGCAGCTTTAAGAAATGAAAATTTTAAAGATCATTAAAGCTATCCACTGATTGGTATAAATAGTGGAACTAAATATTGCTGTACCAATAATTATATGGAGAAATTCTTCACGGCATTGGAAATAATGATAAAAATCAGGATTTGGAATTAGGGAAAAGATACAGAGTAAATACCAGATTCAAAATTTACAAAAAATATGCTGCAGTGGACTAGCAGTTAGCTCTTTAGAATGAGGAACGGTCAAATTTCATGGGGTGAATAGACTTAAGGATGAGATGTTTAGCTCTATATCGAAAAGATCTCTTCAGATACATATCCAGTGCTCAAGCCAATAAAAGAATACATTTTTTGATCAAAAGAGTATTTTGATGGCATCATCCATCTGTTAATATACAGTTAGTACGCAGACATACATTGATGTTCATCAAAACAACATTATAGTGCATCCAATTCTTTCTGGATATATCATAATATTTGCTTAGCTCATCCTTTTTTAATGACTAGAATGAAGCATACATTCGGAACTAACATTCTGTTTTTATCTATTTGTATTCTTTCTTCATTTCTCATTGTTTCTAATACTAATTTCATATCCTGTTGTGGATATTCTATTGGCTGAGCCTTGTTTTTAATCATATTTTTCTCAAGGGACTTGTACTTCTTAAGACCAATGCTTTAGTTTTCATAGAACTTTATAAGCCAAATGAGGCTGAGTGCAGTAATAGCGTCTAAAAGCAACCTAATGAGCATATGACGGTTTGAAATTAGTTTTCTCACATTTCAAGCCATGACTTCACACTGGTTCTCACCAGCCCTTGGGAAAGGATGGGAGAAAATTTGAAATGAATTAATTAGGTGCCAGAATAATACATGGTAAATTAATGTTGATAAAAATAGCAGTTGACAAGCTTGCAAATTAGCTTGTGACATTAAATGGCTTTTCATTTTAGAAATTCGTATTTCTCTTCTCTCCAGGGCAGTGTTATGTTTTTATGTTACACAAGAGATGCAGTATAATGTGGACTCACTTTAGCTAATGAAAAAACTATGACAAATATGCAAAAGGATGTGGCATGAACTGGAGTTTAAAAAAATAAGGCAAGGAGTAATTTGATAGGGATATTCTGTGTTTGCTTGAGTGATCAACAGAACAGACCAAAGGTACGTGCTTTCTTACCTATTTTGTCCTGAGACAGTTCCATGAAATATTTCTTCTACTATCTTTTAGACTGGTGCAGGCAAGACTTATACCATGGGTACTGGTTTTGACATGAACACTTCTGAAGAGCAGCAGGGCATAATTCCACGGGCCATTGCCCATCTCTTCAATGGCATACACGCACATAAGCAGGCTGCACAAGATCAGGGGGTCCCCATCCCAGAGTTCAAAGTCAGTGCACAGTTTTTGGAGGTAAGTATATTAGTGTTGAAGAGAGTGAGTCTTGAGTTAAGAGTGTTTAGAAACTCACTGATAAGGCAACTGGGACTGGTAGGTGGGGTGGAATTTCTCTATTTCAGTGTTTGAAGATAAATAGTGAACAGTGATATTATTTCAGTTCAGATACAAGTTAAAGTATTGGGTATTTCTGTATAGTCTTAACAGATGGCAGCTTTTAACTAATTGGCTTAATCAAATATTAACATGGCTGATATTTGGGTAGGAGACTTCCAGGGAATATGTTGTCTGCATGCAAGGCTGAGAAGTTAAAAAGTTAAATCCCACAGTAAACTATTTCTGTATTGTTGCCAATAAAACTATATGGTGTTCAGGAAGCCACCAGAATCTTCAATCTTGACTTGAAGGAGGCCTTATATTTATCATTCTTATATAGAGAGAGTATACAATAAATAACCTGTGAACAGAAGATAAATTTTTAACAATAATTATAAGAAAATGCAAAATACAAGCAACTCTCTCATAGCCCTCCGATCTCATTACTGTTGAAACATTGTTGAGATCTGAGGATTGCCACATGAATAAATTGTATAATTTACTTACTTGCTTCTGGCTGCTGCAAATATAATAGAACATTTGTCTCAGTGTTCAGATTTTGAGTAGGCTTTTAAGGGAATTATGTATTTCATTTAGTGCTGTACCTCTCCATATTTTTACTTCTATAACTTCTCCTTTAGTTTTACCCCCCAATAATGAAATTGTCTTCTTATAAAAAGAGCCAAATCTTAAAACCAAAGGAGATAAATAATTTCACACTATTTGTAATAATTACAGAATTTTAAACTTGCTAATTCTTTTATAGGCTTTTTGACACTGTAGTCAGCATCACTTTCTACCAAAATAAAACACTAAGCTTTGATCTTCAAACATTTGTATATGTAAAAATTTACCCATTTTTGTTTGTTGTGGAACAGTTTAAAAAGCAAAACAATGCGTTCACTAGTAATTTGTTTCTCTGTTTCATTGTTCAGCTATATAATGAGGAGATCCTGGATCTTTTTGATAGCACAAGAGACCCTGAGAATCGCCACCGAAAATCAAACATCAAAATCCATGAAGATGCCAGTGGTGGTATCTATACCACAGGTGTTACATCACGTCTCATTAGCTCACAGGATGAGGTAAGTGATTTAATTTTTTTACACGTAAACTCTTTCTCCTATGTTTCATCTTACTGAACCTAGAGCAGTTATCAATTTCTGATTCCATGTTCACAGACGCTAAAAGAGGTTATATTCTCTTCACTTTACCTAGCAAATAAAGTAGATAAAAGTGAACTCAAGTAAAGTTGGACAGATGGATAGTTTTCTGAAGAACAGTACTGTATGGAAATGATTTGTCATTAACTTTCTTCCCATATGTTTTTCAACTTCCCCATCCAGCCTACAATCCTGGTATTGTCTAGTAGTTTCTCATCCGTCCAATCAAGCTTATCTTCTAAATCAGAGAAGATGTTATTATTTACTCAGTTTCACCTGTAAAATATATCTAAAGACTGAGATAGCAAATTCCACTTTCCTACCTTTGCAACAAAATGGTTAAATTATGAAAATTAAGCTTTAATTGAACTGCAGTAACTGATTTTGTGTATGTGTGGGATTTTGAGATTAGAATTCTTCAACTATGTTTCAAATTTTAGCTTGGTTGCATTCTGAGTTCACTAGAGTTGTTAACATTCCAACATTCTATCCAGATTCTAATTATCATTCATTATTTGGATGGTGTCCATAACTGAACCCATTTTTTCAACTATGAAAAATTTCTCTTCATTTTGTTTCTCATAATGTGAAACATCATTATCACATTTCCATTTTTACTTTTTGCAGCTTAAATTGTTACTCTTACTATGTTCTAACAACTAGAATCTAGTTGGAAATATTTCTTAGTTTTAACAGATAACAAGCCTTGGAAGCTACAATAGAGACTGAAGAGGGTGGGATTGGGAAGGGTCTGCTTACACTTTGTCCTTCTGATTATTCCCCATATGTAGTTAAATGATAGAGGCCCCATAAATCTTTCCTCTTACAGACAGAGCAGCAGCTGGGAAATTGTTTTATTTTTATTTCATTACTTTAACATACATTCCTATCCTGGGAATTTATGTGAAGAATCATCTATATATTTTTGTGGTAAATATAAAACAAACAAAGAATTGGCTTCTCAATATTAAGACAAAAAATTCCACCATTATTCAAAGCCTCTTAACTTACAAAATGCTTATTAAGCATAAAATGAATCAAATCGTGCCAGATATTCTTTCCAAAGCCAAAACCATATTAACAAAGCCAAATTCCTGTTCTTGAGTGTTGTTCTTCTAAAACACACTGAACAATTGCCATGCTCAACTGTACCTTTGCCAACCTGATGCACTATTGCTTTATTGGATTTCCGTTCCCCCGTTGCTGGAGAAATTCAACATACCTGCAAAGCATCAGGATGAGAAAAACTGGCACTGAATTTATACATACAGATCCTTCCTTTTATTCAAATAATGATCGTTCTCCCAGTGTAGGATCTTTTTCAGCATACTGAATTGCAAGGAGTGTTGGATTTGTTTTAGATCCTTGCATGGCATTTCCTAATATTTCCAATCAAAAGAATATCATTATTTAATCATTGGACATAATAAATAACCATTTAATATTGAATAATAGAAAGCAGCAATTTTAAAGCAGCTCAATTATATGCATAAATATATATGCTTTGAATCTCAATTTTTCAACAATTTTTTCCATTGTCAAGGGATTAGCAATTCAAAATGTGCTTTTACCAAGGGGATATAAATGTTCTTCTGCTCTGTACATTTTTAAATTTAGCCATTACCATTCAATTTAACATTTAATAATTTTACACAATGAGAAATTAATTTATTCTGCTATAACCCTAAAATTTTAAATTTCTAGGTACAATTTTCTTAATTTAATCAAAAAATTCAATGTATATTGGCAGAATATTAGGATCTTTGTTTCATTAGAAATAAAATGAAATTGAATGGCCACTTATCATCTTCATTTGATTGTTATGATTTCAGAAATGTAATGCAATTAGTCTTCTGCAGAAAGTTATTTTAAGTGAGGAAATACAGAAAGAATCTGAAAATCTCTATTCCAGGCCCTTCAAAATTGTACAGTAGTTACATTTTTTTTCATTTGCAGAGTCCTTAATCTTAGGGCTTCTAAGTACCAAGAAAGATACCTCCCATTGAGAGAAACTCTTTTTTTTTTCTTCTTCATCCTTGTCCCACATTTGAAAACCCATCCTCTGAATATATCAGGCTTCATTGCATAGTTTATTATTATTTGTAATTCAGATCTCTGTTTTAAGAATTTTGATTAAGTAAGACTAATTTTATATAATAAGATTTGGAATTAACACATTTATTTACTATATATTTATTAACAATAATTTGTCCTAATTTTAAATTGTATTGCACCATTCCACTCATTTCAATATTTAAAAGAGAAATAAGCATTTGAAATACATGCATAAATCATGCTAGTCCTCCTGCCAAGATTATGTACTAACAGAAGACAACTTCTTCAAGATATCTTTCAAGTCAAGTATCTTCATTAACCTTGTTTCACCAGATTTGTATTGCTACGTTATTGTGCTGAAATAAATAATCCAGTCATTTAGGAAATTAACAAACACATTTTCCTGTGAAAAATGCATAACCCTTCTATTCAGAAGGAAGTGCAACCTAAATTATGTTTGTATTGGGGAAATGCTTTTGAGGTAAGAAACAGCAAGAGTGGAAAGGATTAAACACTTTCTTCTTAACCACTCTTCACTTGGAAACCCATTTTAGCTCAGAGAAAGATTTAATTGCATGTAGCATCTAATTCAGCTTGTATTATTACTGTTTTGCGGCGTGTTGGGGAAGATTTTTGCCATGTTTAATAAGATAGTATAGCAGCTTATTGAAACAAGATGGAGTAGTACTTTTCCTTTTCGTGTGTGTATATAGGATGGGGGGCTTTGCACCTGGTCTGAAAGTATATCCTTTCTCTCCCTGCAGCTGATCCAGTGCCTGAAACAGGGAGCTCTCTCCCGAACCACAGCCAGCACCCAGATGAACGTCCAAAGTTCCCGCTCCCACGCTATCTTTACAATCTATCTTTGCCAAATGCGTGTCTGCTCTCCTGTACATTTGGTAAGGCTATAAGGCAGAGAAGCAGACATCAGAAGGGAATATGTCACTTGCCCCTCTGCTATCAAATGGAAAGGGTGGAATTTTTGGTGGTAGAGATGTAGTGTAGGAACTAGAGACACAACAAGAACTTTGAGTGGATGTAGTGAATGAGAACTTGGGAGCTTGAATCAGTCTCATTATCTCAGAAGAGGAAGCATGGCTTTTCGTGCCAGCAGCAAGTTAATTTTGTGGGTGTATTTTTGGTTTAATGACAATATAACCATAGTTGATATTTTAGCAAATTATACCATGTAACCTAATGCTGGGACTTGTTCTTACTACAGGTGAATGGAGACACAAATAGTCTCCTGGATGGATCCCAGCCTACCAGTGAATATGAGACCCGAACAGCCAAATTCCACTTTGTTGATCTGGCTGGCTCAGAGAGGTTGAAACGAACTGGGGCCACAGGCGAGAGAGCTAAAGAAGGCATCTCTATCAATTGTGGTTTGGTATGGTGGATTGCTTCTAAGACTGAATATGGTATTTTTGGTTGTAGTTTAATTATGTTTTAAGTATATTGTTTTTATTTTATTATTTTCTATTGGTGAATCTCTATTGGTGAATTGTGTTTGCTGCCTTTAGCATTTTTGCTTGGATAGAATGGTGGGATATAAACAATAAACCGGTGGTGAGGAAGATAAGCCCCTTAATAGTCCAGCGTCTTGTGATTCAGGGCACTCTCTTGCACAGCCACAAGCTTCGCTCCATAGACTCTCACAAAGAGCCCTATTTGCAGTCATCTCAGAATATAAAGAAATACTCAGAAATGCTCACTAGTGCTCTATCCAGCGGGCAAAAAATTAGCGCAAACATGGTTCAGCCAGCAGCCTGCCCCCTCAGTCTTACTTCATTCTGAGTTATTTCAAAAACAACCAGGAAGGAGGACAAAAAGCAAAGTGGCCCATTTTCTTAATCCCTGAAATACTGAGGAATCATTTTGAGTTATTTGCTATATGGAGGGAAGAGTCAAGGAGCTGGGAGGTAGGATGAGGTTGCTCACTCCTAAACTCTGAAGTCTAAGGCATAAAGCTAATACTATAGTAACCCCTTTTACCCTCTAGAGCATGGTTCTCCAACCTTGGCACTTTAAGCCTGGTGGACTTCAACTCCCAGAATTCCCCAGCCAGCAAAGCAAAGCTGGCTGGGGAATTCTGGGAGTTGAAGTCCACCAGGCTTAAAGTTGCCAAGGTTGGAGAACCCTTGCTCTAGAAGACCAAGAAACCAATCAGCTGTGCTGCTCAAACAAGACTCTGGAGCATGATTGTGCAGGCGTTGAAACTATTCAAGAGGCAGTGTAAAGTTTTCATATGGAAGTGCCCTCAATAATTTAAGGTCTCCACAAAAATGGGTTGGGACATATTGATTAAGAATTGAGCTGTTGATAGAATGCAGGTTTCATAAAAGGGGATTGCCTATGAAATATATTATGTATTGCCTCTGGAGGGCAGAATTCCATTTACTGGAATAGTTACAAAAGAGTAATTTGGTCTTTACAAAAATATGAAAGTTAGACTAATTTATGATATCAATCAGTAGATTTGACATTTAGTTAAAGAGCTGCATCATGGATTTCTTTTTATTTTATTATTTTTTATTAGTCATATTTCTATGCCGCCCACTCTCTGAGGACTCTGAGCGGCTTACACCAAAGACAATATACTAAATAGCATATTGCCCCCCTAACAATCAGGGTCCTCATTTTACCCACCTCGGAAGGATGAAAGGCTGAGTCAACCTTGAGCCTGTGAGATTTGATCTGCTGATCTGCTGAACTAGCAATCAGCTGAAGTAGCTGCAGTACTGCACCCTTACCACTGCGACACCTCGGCTCTTTTTTATGTCAAATCCTAACAGAACTGCAGGGTATATTTGAAAATATAAAATATGAATATGACATTGACTTTTTGAAACATGCATCATATAATACACTTGTTGCAAATTTTTTGTAGTGTATAAGTAGCATCAAGCAGTATTATCTGACCATGATCATTTCAGACCTTGTAAGTTAGGTGTTATTTTACAAAACAGTGAAAGAATTAAATAACAAAAGGGAAATGGCACATAAAAGATCAGTAGCCAAAGCAGTATTTCTCAGGATCCTTCTGGAGGTAAAAGAATCAATGAAGGAGAAAACTGGAAGTCATGTATAAAACATAAATATTTGGCCAATTTTTTAGAGCCATGATTTTTACCAAATACATTTTCCCCATAATTGTGAGGATTGGGAATTTGTAATGAGAAGAGAATCTTTGAATTGATGTGTGTTTCATAAATAAATAGGCGGTTTTATGTAGTTCAATGAAGGTGGTTTCTTAGTCTAACTGACTTTTTTTTAAAAAAAAAATTCATAGACTACATTCCTGTAATGAAAGAATTATGTCATTTCATCAGTCTGATCTTCCTTTAAGCGAGGAGAATCCACTTCCCAGCCGATGTGTGTTATAATCTAATAAGCAGGGAATGGAAGGAGGAAAATAGTCTGGAGCTCTGATGGTTATCTGAGAAGAATTTATGGAGTAACAGTTCCAAAATAAAAGCAATAGGAAAAGAAGGCAATTTAAGTACTGACTTTTCTATTTCTCTGACAGCTAGCATTAGGAAACGTCATCAGTGCCCTTGGGGATCAGAGCAAGAAAGCATTGCACGTGCCCTACCGAGATTCAAAGTTGACCCGGCTTCTCCAAGATTCACTTGGTGGAAATAGGTAACTGGAAAGAAACATTAATAGAGTTCCTTATGCTCAACTGGAAGTCCATATAAGCATTGATATGGGTTTGCTGGCATTGAGAATCTCAGATAAAACGACTGCTCATGTATGGCCATAGATGTGCTTAATCAGAAGTCAGGACAAGGCCATCAGAGGTGTTTGAAAAAATGAATTTTGAAACACATCATTAGCTTATTTTTTTCAGATGTCATTATTAGCTTCTGTAGTGTAGATAGTTATATTATATGCCTAAGATAGTTTTCATGCAAATTTTGGCAACAGAATCTTTTCATGACAAATTTTTGTAATCTACAAGTACTCCTTGACTCATAACAGTTGTTTAGTGACTGTTCAAAGCTCATGTGGCACTGAAAAAACTGACTTATGATAGTTTTCACACTTATGACCGTTGCAGCATCCCCATGGTCAAGTAATCAAAATTCAGATGTTTGTTAACTGACTCATATTTATGGCAGCTGCAGTTTCCTGGAGTCATGTGATCACCTTCTAACAAGCAAAGTGAATGGGGAAGCCAGATTCATTTAACAACCATATTACTAAGTTAACAACTGCAGTGATTCACTTAACAACTGTGACAAGAAATGTCATAAAATGTGATAAAACTCACTTAACAACTGTCTCACTTAGCAACAGAAATTTTGAGCTTAATCTGGTCGTAAGTCAAAGACTACTTGTACATTTTGGATCTGAAATCCCCTGCTTCTTATTCATTATTGAGCAGATAGTTTAATAATTCACTGATAATCCAGTTTTTCAGAATTATGAGTGGGGTCCTTACATGTACTGTACGTAGATCTTTATCCTATATATGTAGTTTGGAGCACATGCTTGTTGAGCTGCATTCCTAGATAAACATATTTGGAAGAAGTCAATATTAAAAATGCCTTGACAAACTGCTTTGTTATTCCTATTTGGACACAGCTGACACTACAGTGAAGTTTTTTTGAGTCCGTCTTTTCTCTTCTTTTATAGTCAAACTGTGATGATTGCCTGTGTGAGTCCTTCAGATCGGGATTTTATGGAGACCCTGAATACCCTTAAATATGCCAATCGTGCTCGCAACATCAAGAACAAAGTGGTGGTGAATCAGGACAAGACCAGTCAGCAGATCAGTGCCCTGAGAGCTGAAATTGCTCGTCTCCAGATGGAACTTATGGAATATAAGGCAGTAAGTAGAAGCCATGAGCGACCTCTTGTTACTGGGAAATTAGTGTTTGTTCCTAAATCAAATACAGACTTCTAGCATTAGAAATATCTCTAGTGATTTCAGTATGTTTTTGAGTCTTTGATGTTTTATATAATCCTACTTAAATACTGCTTTAAAAAACTTCAAGCCAATTTTTATATGAGCTCTGTCTCTTCTTTAGCATTTTCCCTTCTGCAATGGAATCATCATATGTGAACAGTCAGAAGTGTTTCTGACCTTCTCTCTTCAAAATGGATATATTGATGACCTATAATGCAACTAGTGAACCCAGAAAATAGAAGGAGTTGACTTCATTTTTCTCTCCCCCCGCCTCTTTTTAAGAGATCCCAGGGTGAAATATTGGCATTTGTGAGGAGTGAAACTACATGTGGTCTAATGGAGTACATTTCTCTCTTGGTGTAAATCAGGGGTGCTATTCAGCAGGTTCTGACAGGTTCTGGAGAACCGGTAGCGGAAATTTTGAGTAGTTCGGAGAATTGGCAAACACCACCTCTGGCTGATCCCAGAGTGGGGTGGGTATGGAGATTTTGCAATATCTTTCTCCCAGAAGTAGGGACGGAATGGGGATTTTGCAGTATCCTTCCCCTGCCACGCCTACCAAGCCACTCCCACCAAGCCACACCACTTCCACCAAGCCACGCCCATAGAACCGGTAGTAAAAAAAATTGAATTCCACCACTGGTGTAAATAGATAAGTCAAGGGCATGGTTCATGAAGGAAGATAATGTTTGAAGTTCAGGATTAGAATATCCCCTCAGCAATAAGAGCAGAGCTGAAAGTACATTCCAAATTTTCTCAGCTGCTAAACAATCTCTCCCCTCTTTCCAAATACTTTCATGGAATTGTGAATTTACAAGAAAAGTGGGACTTAAAAAGCTACTTCTGTATTTTCACTAAATATGTGAACATTCAAAAGTGTACTAATTTATTACCCTGAACTCATTGACTGTGTTTGCACCTAATACTTAACTAAGATTTTTTTAGCCATGTTGATCAAGTCTTTTTTGCCAATGAAACATTGCTAAATCCAAACCAGATTGTATTAAGCCATTGTGTTATTTGTGAACTAGGTCACCCAATATCCTTTCCAGCGTTCCCAGTGAATTGCTAACTGTAACAATGAAGAATTGTATTAGCTCTGCTTTGCCATGTAACTAAGAAGTAGGCTTTATGAAGTGTCAGAGGAGAGCTTTGCTTTGATTGAGGTTCAAATAATAAAGCACCCTTTTGATGTATCTCCAAGAAATGAAATGAAGCCCCACTTGTAGGCTCTGCACATTGCTGCTAAATTGTATCATCTTAGCTACTTCACTGGCCTTTACATCCTTTCTGCACGCTTGCATGCCCAAAGCTGTTGATTGGAGGTTTAACTAACTTTTCACATCAAGATAACACTTCAAAGCAGAAATGTTTTTGAGCTGAGGCAGCTTCACGATGTCTGTTCTTCTTATGGCAATTTGCCAGATCTAGCTATTTAGAAAGACAATACAGGTAGTCCTCAACTTATGACCACAACTGATCCCAAAATTCCTGTTGCTAAGTGAGACATTTGTTAAGTCAGTTTTGCCCCATTTTACAACATTTCTTACCACAGTTGCTAAGTGAATCACAGCAGTTGTTAAATTAGTAACACAGTTGTTGTGTGAATTTGGTTTCCCCGTTGACTTTACTTGTCAGAAGGTTATAAAAGCTGATCACATGACCCTGGGATACTGCAACTATCATAAATATGAAACAGTTGCCAAGCATCTGAATTTTGATCACATGACAGTGTGGATATTGCAATGGTCGTAAGCGCCAAAAATACTTTTTTCAGTATCATTGTAACTTTGAATGGTCACTAAATGTATTGTTGTAACTTGAGGACTACCTATAAAAGCAAATCTATTCTGAGTTACACTCTAGAGTTATCCTGTTTTTAAGTTCTGGCACACACTTATGAAGCTTATATGCAGATTTATTTCTTTATGTTGTAGTTTGTTTTAATGTTATCCCGTATCATGTCTATAACCCCCTGTGCAGACTTCATAATCAAAAACTAAAAATACAAATAGAAAAATATATCTTGTCTACTACTTCTATTGCTTGTTCAAAAGGATATATATGAAAGGCACCCTACTTCAACATATATGAGAATAAATACCTCAGTACCAGAATATGACATGGTTTTGCTCTATAACTTCTACTCTCACAGAATAGCTTTTTGTTAATTTCAACCTTACCCATTGTTTTCTCCCCACCTCAAAGGGTAAGCGTGTTATTGGAGAAGATGGCTCTGAAGGCTACAGTGACCTCTACCAGGAGAACGCCATGTTGCAGAAGGAGAACACCACTTTACGAATGCGGGTGAAAGCCATGCAGGAGGCCATTGATGCAATCAACATCCGTGTCACCCATTTGATGAGCCAGGAAGCCAACCTGATTCTTGCCAAGGCAGGTGAGACTATGAGAGCCAGCTCAAAGTGAACTCTGTAGGCTTCTTCAGTAACAGTGGAATCGTTGAATTTACAGAGTTCCTTCACTAAGGAACAGATTACATGTGACATTACATATATATTGAGACAAATATGCGTAATCTGGGTACATTGCTTTTGGAGTAACAGCTACTTCAGAAGCATTTATTTATTCAGTTTATAGAGCTACACACACAACCTGAAACTCAGGGCAGAGTACACAATGAAAAACAACAAATAACAATAATAAAAGAATAAAATATAATAAAACGTGCTAGAGGCAGCTCAGACAACTCCTCCTCCTCCTCCATCATCTCCATCATCTGGGTATTTAGAGTTAGAAGGAAGACCAACAGTATAAAGAGGCAAGAACAATACGTAGAGTTACTTCTGAATAATTCCTTTTCTTATTGTTCACCTACAATAGAGATAGGTAGTCTGACAAAGAGATCCCCCTCTCTTTTTTTTACTTTGCCTCTCCCAAATGCTGTTACCACAAAACAAGCTAACAAAAACTGTGGAACATGTTTGTTAGGCAGAGAATCTACCAAATTTTATCTACAAAAACCTGATGTGGATATTTTCCCTCCATATTAAAATAAGTTAACTGAATGACTATTGTTATATATCGTTTGGTTTTAGGATTGTTGCCTATAGCATTCCTAGTAATCAAGAAGATTTCTTACATTTTCTTGGGATATTTTTGCCTAGCTTTTTCTGTTAACTGGATTGCTTCAGTTTTAAAAGCTGTTTTTGTTATTGTAGTTGATGTTTTGTTTCTTATTTGTACTTTTTTCCAGGTGATGGTAATGAGGCTATTGGTGCTCTGATTCAGAACTACATCAGGGAAATTGAAGATCTCAGGTAAATGGAATTTTTTTAAATTTATGTTCAGGGTTTTTTGGGGTGGGGGAGCTACAAGCCATATTCAGATTTGGGAGAGAAAAAGTTGACAGTTCCTATAAATATACATCTGGCACAAATTGCCAGTTTTTTAACTGCTGAATAAGATTAAATCTTCCTTATTTGCAGAACTCCAAAAAATTTTCAGGTGCCTGAAGTTATGTTGTAGGACATCTTGAAACTTGTATTTACACTTGAAAACATCATACAGAAAAAAAAAGAATTATGTCTAACTTTAATGCTATGTTTTGATCACTGCTGAATTCTTATGAAAGATCATTCTTTGGTGTTTGAATCAATCCTTGATATCATTAGACAATTTATGCAATGCAGCCTGTTTTCTATAACCTTGAGAATCTGAATAGGATGAACTTTTAAAATTTGCTTTATCCTTTTATTTTTGAGTTTTCTTCTATATAAATGGGTTTATGGAAGGGCATATTTTGGACCATATTTTGCTTATTGGATCCTGTTCTTGTAATATAGTCATCTTTTGAACTTAAAATATCAGGAAATTATATCATTAAAATAAGGTATTAATTGTATTGTTTCATTCTGTTTGGGCAAATAAATTATCCCTACCAGAGAACTTTAAAGAAGTTTGTATCGAATTAGGTGGCTGATATGATTTTGTGTGTCTGTGTCTATGTGTGTCTCCTTTGTAGGACAAAACTCTTAGAGAGTGAAGCTATGAATGAATCACTACGCCGCAATCTGAACCGGGTTTCAACCAGGCTGCCCTATTCCCTGGGTTTATCACCAGGAATTGGATTGGGAGATTCACGTTCCCCTGCCACCTCAGTGGAAGCTGAAGCCACTGACGTTCTACAGTGGGCCAAGCAAGATGTTGAGAGGCTGAAGAAGGAGACAAAACTGCGAAGAAAAAGGTAGACCACATTTCCCATTTCATCAAGTGCCACACTCTTCATAACGGTGCCTAAGGATGGTTCATACCCTTTCTCTCTGTCCTTCCTACTCTGTACCAATTCTTGGGTCTCAGCAACCATTATTGAAGACTGCATCTACCCAGAGTCACCTATGTGAGTTGGGTGGCTATATAAATTTATTAAATAAATATGTAATCAGAGGTATGAGTGTGGTGGTGTAGTGGTTAAAGGGACTGGGATAGAGTTTATGAACTATAATTCCTCCTTGGGCATGACTAAACAGAGTAACTTTATGTCTGTCACTCTCAGCCCTAGAAATAAGACAACAGCAAACTACTTCAGAAAATCTTGCCAAGAAAGCTTTGCCAGGCAATTGCCAGAAGTTAAGACTAACTTGGGCATGGACATACAGACACACAAATCAGTGATGCAAAGAAAATTGCTTGAGATCCCTGCTTTGGGACTTATCTCAATTAGAGTGATAAAACTTAGGTGACTGGCAAGATTCCTTATTCTGGCTCCTGAATTGTGTATTTATAAGGGTTTAAGTTATCATTTGTTCCTCCTTAGTATATGAAAGTAGTGGAGGAAAAAAGGAATCAAACAGAGTGTTTTGATACCACATTTTTTCTGTTTCTTGGATCCCTAGAGTAGCAATTTAAATGCTAATTTATTAATCAAATAGATTTGAATCTCTAATTAAAACATTATAGGTTGTGTTTCAGCTGGCTGAAGAACTTTTTACTAAAGTTCAGTGTGTTCTGCAGCAAGAAATAAACACCACTGTGCCCTATGACATCACTCCCGTGTAATTACACATACATTATACTCATATTGATATTTATAAATTAGGTTACCTTATAAATTAGGTATTGTGTATCTTGTCATTCTGCTTGTCTCTATGCTCATTCTTGTGATGAGCTTCTACTGTTATCGCTAGACTGGTATACATAGTGTAAAGATAGTAAATACGGTTGGGTCTGTCTTGCTGAGGATTTGTGAAGCAGTGGTGGGTTTTAATTAGTTTTACCATCGGTTCGCATCGTGCACGTGCTTTGCGCACAATCGCCACACGCATTGAGAAAAAAACCAGCTGAGGCATGGCAATCCCCTCTGCTGCACTTTACAGCTAACCAAAAACCAAACAAAATAAAGGTAGGTATAGCGCAGGGGGCAGGGGGGAAGGCCCAAATGACATTCAGAGTGAACCAGTTCGCTCTCCTATGCAGATTTCCACTACCGGTTCTCCCGAACCAGTAGCAACCCACCACTATTGTGAAGGTATTGTCAAGTAAAGGGTCTTGGCCAAGATCTATAGAAAGATTAATATTTAGGCTGACTGTCCTGTTGGTGTTTTTCATTATTGATATAAATGGAAGCAACATTCTTTTGATAGTAATGATATCAACTCTGATGGTGGATCTTCTGCCTTTTAGACTGAAATCTTAGAACCAAAGAAATAGCCTAAAAACAAAACAAACGTTGACATAAATTTCACTTTTCTTTGACAGCCCAGAGAAAGAAGGGTTTAAAAAGCGGTTGAGGTTGCAGCAGGGAAACGAGGCAGATGAGAATGATGAGAATGAGGCAGAAGAGGTAAGAGGCTTTCCTTCTCACGTGTGTGTAACTTCTGTGGTCTTTTACTCACCCATCCATAGGGCTCCATTGACTGCAGAGGCTTGATAAAGAAGATAAGAGCACTTTCCCAAGAATAGAGTGCAAGTTCAGGTTGGACTGAAAGGGCTTCCAAGTCATTTTTTCCATTAAATTTAATCTCTGCTTTCAGAATCTCCTGACGTAAACAATTCACACCTAATTCTTTAAGTTTAAGAATGCAATAGAATAGAATATAATAGAATTCTTTATTGGCCAAGTGTGATTGGACACACAAGAAATTTGTCGTGGTGCATATGCTCTCAGTGTACATAAAAGAAAACATATATTCATCAAGAATCATAAAGTACAACACCCTATGATAGTCATAGGGTACAAATAAGCCATCAGGAAACTTTATCAATATAAATTGTAAGGATACAAGCAACAAAATTACAGTCATACAATCATAAGTGGAAGGAGATGGGTGGTGGGAATGATGAGAAGATTAATAGTAGTGCAGACATAGTTTGACAGTGTTGAGGGAATTATTCGTTTAGCAGAGTGATGGCATTCAGGAAAAAACTGTTCTTGTGTCTAGTTGTTCTGGTGTGCAGTGCTCTATAGCTTTGTTTTGAGGGTAGGAGTTGTCCAGGATGTGAGGGGTCTGTAAATATTTTCACAGCCCTCTTCTTGATTCGTGCAGTATACAGGTCCTCAATGGAATATATCTTGTCTCATCTCCAAGAACTGGATGCTTTTTTTTTAACGCCCATCAGCATGTGAAGTAGAGAAATCAGGCAGCAGTGTAAACTTAGATAGATACACAGCTAGAGCAAGGCCTGATCCAAAACTGATAAGGTCCTGTATAAAGCCCATTTGAAGGCATATACCGTGATGATAGGCCCAACCAAGAAGCAGGGGACTTGCTATCAATCAATAGCTGATACAATATGAATTACAAAACAAAATAAGGAATTGTGAATTAAGAATTCTGTCCTCATTTAGCAAATCAAACAAAAGTTGATGGCTTTTAATATAATACAGTTTATCAAAACAATGAGTTACAGCTGAAATATCACAATTCTTAAAATAAGAATTAAAACAAAAAGTGAAAACAACTAGAACAAATGATTAAAATTAACATTTGAGTCAGCAGTTAAAAGCTCATACATAATAGGAATTTTAAAAAAACAAGCTGTACTAAATAAGTTCACAATCACTGTAGGCAAATCTCAGTAAGGTTGCAGGTACAAACAGAAAGAAGCTGCCCCTCAAAAAGCCTAGATCTAAACTCAATTTCATTGAGAGCTGTATCAGGGCTGGGTGGACAACACTGGGTGGGTGTGGCCAACTGGGTGGGTGTGGCCAACTGAGTGGGTGGGTGTGACCAGCTTGACACCACTACCCAAACTGCTGGTATGTTTCAAGTCCAAATAGAAATTGGGAAGGATTAATATTTTGATATCTTGTAAGGAGTAATATTGCAACTCTTTTTTTTAATCATGATTTTCCTCATATTTAAGGAGGAAAGGGATGAAAGTGGCTGTGAGGAAGAAGGCGGCCAGGATGAAGAAGATGAAGAAGATTCAGGGAGTGAAGAAAGTCTGGTGGATTCTGATTCAGATGTCGAAGAAAAGGGTAAATATCATGCAGTAAATGTTGAAAGGTTTCATCGTGTGTAACGCCATCACTGTAATGATTAAAATACGAGAACCATCATATCAGAAGAGATTAAAAATTCAATTTTGTCCAGTAACTGTTTCCACATTGGCCAGTCACTGGGCCGATGAAAATCTCAGAAGTAAATACATTAATTTTTATAGCAAAATAATTTTCCCACTCATATTTCTCAACAACAAATAAATAAATGTTTCCTGATTCTAGGTGAATGCATAGCAGCATACTAGTTTCAGGTACATATGAGTCTTTTGTTAAGATTGATCAGTGCATAGGCCATATGCTGTCATTTTAAGTATTGTTGTAGTGTTTCCCAATTACTTTGGGAATGCATCATACAACCTTGGACATGTTAGTAGGATAATGGAAGCTGTTATCTAAGACATTGGGTGGAAAAGGCCATGTTCAATTTAATAAGAGGCCTTATGCATTCCTGTCTCAAAAGCTGTAGTGAATTGAGTTCTCACCATCTTCCAAATATAGTACAACTCTTGGTTTTTGAAGGCAGCACAAGGCAATAGCCAATTCCTTGGATGGCACTCCATTTTTCTGAAAAGAGTCACTTTTTAGAATAAGTTGGGTGGCATAATTTAAATAAATAAATGGGCAGCCCCACATGATTGAATTTTTTTAAAAAAGTCATGAGAATTTTTCCAAACAAAACAGGTTCAAAATACCAGCAATTTTGCTCAAGACTAAATATGATTGATTGAGTGAGTGAATGTGTAAGTGATTGATTGATTAATTGATAGACAGGCAGATTTATATAAGATGCATATTGATGGAAAAAATATGACTTAATCAGAAGATTGCCTGGGGTGCAAGATCATAGCAGGTTGTATGGTAATATTTATTTATATTCTTTTTTTCAATTATTTAGCAGCAAATTTCCAAGCTGATCTGGCTGACTTGACCTGTGAGATTGAGATCAAACAGAAATTAATTGATGAACTGGAGAACAGCCAACGGCGCCTACAAACCTTGAAGCACCAATATGAGGAAAAGTTAATTTTGCTGCAGAACAAGATCCGTGACACTCAGCTGGAGAGAGACAGGGTGCTGCAGAATCTCAGTAAGGGCTTACTGGTTGGGAAAATTGGATTTTTACAAGTGGATCAGGATCTGCTTGCATTGTTCTGGTATTGAAAGGCTTTTTATCTGAATGCACAGTCAAAGCTATGATTTTAATGCACAAGAACTATCTGACTCTCAAACCTGAATTAGTAAGTAAATCTTTAATTAGATTTACACTTTATGTCAAACCATGATTTGTTTTAATTTGCAGTGGTGTTGTCTGTCCATAATCTTAACTCTGTAAATTGTTGCTGAGAAATCACAATAATTAGGTATACACAACATGCTAACTCATAATTTGCAACATGTGACTCAAAGCTTACTCTCAAAATGGTCAAATGTTGTGTAGTCAGATGAGTGATCACCAGAAAGATCAGCTTAAGTTGTATATGTGTATAAATCCTGTTTCCTTCAAAATATATGCTTTTTGTTTCCTATCTATTATTAGCTCCTAATGATAACATAGGGGACGTGGTGGTTCAGTGGCTAAGATGCTGAACTTGTCGATCAGAAAGGTCAGCAGTTCAGTGGTTCGAATCCCTAGCGCCGCATAATGGAGTGAGCTCCAGTTACTTGTCCCAGCTTCTGCCAATCTTTGAAAGCATGTAAAAATGCAAGTAGGAAACTAGGGACCACCTTGGTGGGAAGGTAACAGTGTTCTGTGCGCCTTCAGCGTTTTTAGTCATGCCGGCCACATGACCACAGAATTGTCATCAGACAGCACTGGCTCTTCAGCTTAGAAATGGAGATGAGCAATGACTAGCACGTATGTGTGAGGGGAACCTTTACCTTTACCTTAATGTTTGAAAACTGATCTATATATTCAGAAAAAAGTATTATAACTACTGCACTACAATACATTCCCAGGAATGTACCATTTCAGAATATAATGAAGGTTGCATAATTAAGTGCTTTCCTCAAGTAAGGCTTGGGAGACAACCTCAATTCCTTGTATTAGCATGATAATTACTGCTTTAGTGATTTGGGAGAAAAAGTCAGTCATAACGTTGCTCTCTGAATAGGTATGTTGCTGGTAAGGTTTGCATTCTTCCTGAACTCTGAATTCTGATTCCTATGATTTTGGGAGAATGTAGGATTTAATTTAGTTATGTAGTTATATACTTTTGTTATGTAAGAAGAGTGTCAGAAATGTAATGTATTTTAGGTCTTCAAATATGGTTACAATAGGTTAGGTCTGTTTGAAAAATCTCCCTTGGTTTGTTTTAATTTGTATTATATTTCGATTCCATTACTGCCTTCTCAGAAACTGCTCCAAGCACAGTGCCTTGATAGAGATTTATATGAGTTTTTTGCTTTGTTTTGTTTTCCTCTTCTCAGGTAGTATGGAATGTTATACAGAAGAGAAGGCTAACAAAATTAAAGCAGATTATGAGAAACGTTTAAGGGAGATGAATCGTGACCTGCAGAAGTTGCAGGCTGCCCAGAAGGAGCACGCTCGCCTTCTCAAGAACCAGTCTCGATATGAGAGAGAGCTGAAGAAGCTGCAGGCAGAAGTAGCAGAGATGAAGAAAGCAAAGGTAATTCAGTTGTGCCTTTGTGTGTGTGTGAGAGAGAGAGTCTGTTTGTGTGTTTTCCTCATGACTATACTGGACATAGGCCACAGTCAAAGAGTGTAAGGAGGAACATTTGTTGAACAATATAAATGGCAAAACATGATCTTTCTGTCTCTTTTTTTAATCCATGCTTTTATAGGGAGAATCTTGTACCATTTTTATTTTCTGAAAGGCTCAGTGAGGTTCAATCAGGCCAAAAGTTAGCAACTTATTATCAGCTGTGTTTATCTTGTTATTCCAGCAGACATTTGTATTAGGGTCATCTCTATAAAACTACATATAGTTTTATCTTGGCCCTATACCAATTCAAACTATTTGTATTCTCTTGTTAGTTAAATTTGCTGTTTGGCAAGACTGTCTTCTTCATTATCAGTATTATTGAGTTGAGGTATGACTGTTACTTACAGGTAGCACTGATGAAACAAATGCGTGAAGAGCAACAAAGACGGCGAATGGTGGAGACCAAGAGGAACCGTGAGATTGCCCAGTTGAAGAAAGAGCAACGTAGGCAAGAGGTGAACAAGAAATTTTTTTCACCTATTCGCCAACGTTTCCAACTTTGGGTCCTTTTTCAGTACTTTGGCCAAAGATGTAGTATGGGGTGGAAGAGAGAGAGGAGGATGAGTTGAAAGGGAAGTTCTGATTTGATGTCTGTCTGAATTAATTACACCTTGCAACTTTGACCATGCTACATCGATGTGGATATTGGAGATATAGCCAGAAAATCCATAAATATTGGAGGCTTGTATAGAATTAACATAGTGCTTTTTCTCCTCCTTTATACATTCCATAAGTGGTTTAAGTTGTGTGCATATATAATGCTTTGCTTTCACAATATATCAGTAAATTATTCCATAAAAATATATCTTTATACTATATGTAGTTATTCAAGAAAGGGGCCATTGTAGAAGATGAAGCCTAAACAAATTATGATTATATTTTAACCTTATGAGATATATAATTTTATATTACATATATCACAATTAACACAAGATACAATAGAACAATAGAGGTGTAAACTTAAAAATATACAATATTATAAACTAAAATATTGGTTTAACATCCAATATGGAATTTATCTAATGAGAATCCTGAACTTTTGATTTTGGTACTTTCTGCTGAAGGACCCGATATAATCGACAATGTAACATTTTAAGCATGTTTAAATATTTTAACCACTTTTAAAAATGAAAAAGAAAGAAAATAAAGCAATTCCAAATACTCCATTTAAAAAATCCATACTGTCTTGGATAGCTTTCCCCTCTCCAGATGGTCTACCATAGGACAGCTGAATAAGAGCAGGGAGTTAAACTTCAGGGATTTATTTATTTATTTATTTATTTATTTGAGCTGGGGTTTCAATTAGAGGAACTCTTGACAGCCTTAGAAAATAATTGCTAGAAGAGGAACTGATATTCCCAATAGTGCTACAAGAGTAAGATTAGATCTTAAGGAAAAAATGCAATGAAAGTCTGAAACCAGAGTTTTCCCATCTTATATAATCCACAGTTTCTGCAGACTGTATACAAATTTTATCTATTAACTCTTGATCAATAATCATCATGTTACTTTCCATCCATAAATCCCATCGGACTGCAACAGGAAGCATTTGGACACTCCCTGACAAACTGACATATATATTAAGCCTCAAGATATTATTAAGAGCTTTATCAGAGCGCATCGTAAGGAAAGTTTATTTCATGGATGTTCCATTGTAGGATGTTGTCAATATTTTTTCCCATTGTTCCTGCAGTATCAGATCCGAACTCTGGAATCTCAGAAGCGACAGCAGGAGATCGTCTTGCGCAGGAAAACCCAAGAGGTGAGGTGCAGGCTTAGGGTGCACAAGGATAGCAAGTGTTAAGTCTCTGCTTTTTTTAAAAAAAAAAAAAGTCTTCGCCAGTCTGCAACTTTGGAAATGTCATGTGGGTTTCTTGAGTGTGATTTGTTGGACCAATCACACATAGCCATTGAAACTGAAATCTCAGATAACGAACCAAGAAAAATGCCTCTTGTGCTTATGAATCACAGGAGCTCTGCATAGAGTGAAAGAGGGAGACCCCAAATGTATCTTTTGAGCATGTAAATGTATTAAACAGAATTATATTTTTTGTTTATCCAGACAAATCTATAATTTCTTACCAAGAGACTGAGCACATCACTTGATTAGTGAAGTTGCTAAATTTGGTCTTAGCTTAGATCATTTGAGTTTGATTATAGATAATGTCTGGCATTTTGTATTATTTTGCCATGTATCTCAAAAACCTTGTTACTTGGGAGAAAATTCTTCCCCAAATTTAGCTGCCTTTGCCTTTGCAGTTTGGGGATGTTATTGGAGATAACTGGAATCACTTTTGATTCTTCCCCTGAAACTGATGCCTGAACCTATTTTCATATTTCTATTTGTCAGGACTCTTCTTTTTCTTCTGGTTTTCTAGGTCTCTGCTTTGCGTCGTCTAGCCAAACCTATGACTGATAGGGTTGCTGGGAGGATTAACCAGAAACAAACCATGGGAGAACCCGGTGCTGAAGTCTCCACCAGCACTACCACCTCCTTAGAGTCAGAATCTGGTTCTCGTTCTGTCTCTAGCATTGTACGCCAATGGAATAGAAAAACCAATGCTTTGCTGGGAGATTCTCCTTCCTCCTCAAATGGAACTCGGACAATCAGGTCAGATACCATGTTAATTCTTTGGTTATATTTCAAGCTATTCAAGGGATCTGTCAGAGAGTACATGTGTGTGTATTATATGTGGGTATCTGTGAACATATTGATACCTTTCAACTCCAAGGTTGCCTCCTGGAGCTTTGGCTTTTCCTGATAGCTTCCTTCTTGGTAGAATTCAGAATGGTTTCCTACCCTCTGCTTCAGAACTACTTGGAGTAGTATGGCTAAGAATTTAACATAATGGTAGGATTGTGCTGCTCATCTCTTGCTTGTGATCTCCCTCTATAGGAAAAGATTCCCAAAGAAAGGTGCAAATCAGACTTTTAGTAAGGCAGCCCGCCTGAAGTGGCAGTCACTGGAACGCCGTGTCTTTGATATTGTCATGCAAAGAATGACTGTCATCAATCTGGAATCAGATATGGAGCGTCTTATCAAGGTGACAAGGGGGGTGGATCATAAGAGTAGATGTCTTCATTGGGATAGAAGGCAAGGCTTGGGGGCAGAGTTTGTTGCAGAGCAATGGCCTAGCACAGGGGTCTCCAACCTTGGCAACTTTAAGACTTGTGGACTTCAACTCCCAGAATTCCTTTGCTTTGCTGGCTGAGGAATTCTGGGAGTTGAAGTCCACAGGTCTTAAAGTTGCCAAGGTTGGAGACCCCTGGCCTAGCAGAATGACTCAATTCTTCCCTTTTGTTTCCAGAAACGTGAGGAGTTGTCACTGATGCAGGAAGGACTACTAGGAAAGAGGGGGAAACTACAGGCTGAGAACCCAGAAGAACAGAAGGGATTGCAGGAATTGAATGAGGAGATTGAAGTGTTGGCTGCCAATCTTGACTACATAAATGACGGTATTTCTGACTGCCAGGCCACCATTATGCAGATTGAAGAGACCAAGGTGTGTCCCATTTCCATCTGAGGCAAGGGATTTGGGAGGGGGGATTCCATAGTTTATATATGAGCCAGAGATTAATTGAGGCTGATAGCTGGACTCCTTGCTCTTAGGAACAGTAGAGACTAAGGAGTTACTGTGTTTTATAATCCTTATGAGATCCCTGAGAGAACTGGAAAAGTCCTAGAATTTTTCTCTTTCAGTCTGGAATTACATCTAATTACAAATTACATAATAATTTGTTATTTACATTAAGGCATTAGTACTCTAGAAAAACTCTTGTAGAAAAAACAGGGAGAAGGCTCTAGTAGTGATAAATGAATAATTGAAATTAGCTACTCATGCACAACTCTACTGATAGGATATCAAGGCTAGTAAAACCAATATTTGGACAGTGAAACAATGTTCTATCCCCAGACTTTCTCATTCTATTTCTTCTCCCTTTGGGTCTCTTCTTACTAGGAAGAATTGGATTCTACAGATACCTCTGTGGTGATCAGCTCCTGCTCTTTGGCTGAAGCACGACTTTTATTGGACAATTTTCTCAAAGCATCCATAGACAAGGTAAGTCAAGGCTAGGAATGCCTGCTAGCAATTGATAGGTGTAGCTAATCCAGTAGCAAATGTAATTGGTTACAATATTAATCTGAACCTATCTATGGAACTCTTGGAGAAATGCATTTAGAATGGAGTAAGATTTTTAATATCATGAAATATATTTGCAGTGAAACTCTTTTTAGTCCTTTTGCAATATCCAAACACTTTACTAAGAAGTAGAATAAAGCTCTGACTGAATATTATGATTACAGTCTTCTGGTTTTGTCTCAGAATTCAATGCAAGGCACAGAATCCCATTGGATATAGCCTTCTTTATGGCTGAGAATAGAGCTTGTGGAGAGATCAAGTTCTTACCTAATTTTCCAATCTCTGAAAATAGAGCCTGCAGGTAGCCCAGAAGGAAGCTCAGATCCGCTTACTGGAGGGACGTCTCAGACAAACAGATGTGACTGGCTCCTCTCAGAACCATCATATTCTGGATGCCCTACGAGAAAAAGCAGAATCCCACCCTGAATTGCAGGCACTCATTCATAATGTGCAGCAAGGTCTGTTTTGTTATTCACCTATCTGCAGTGCTCTTCTATAGCAACACTCCTATAAAATTTTCTTGCTGTGTGACAAAAGGACTAGTTTGAGGACAATCACTGCATAACAAAGACTTCAAATAGCCAGGCTGCTATGTGATGAGTACAACCATGAACTGAACATTTAAACTTACCTCTGAATTAGTCAGTTCATGTAGCCTTGGTACTACAGTGGTTTAAAGCACCCTGTTATTAACACAGCTGCCTGCAATTTACTGCTGGTTCGAATCTCTCCAAGGCTGAAGGTTGACTCAGCCTTCCATCCTTTCTAAGGTAGGTTAAATGAGGACCCAGTTTGTGGGGGCAATAAGCTGACTTTGTATAAATATACAAAAGTATGAAGGCTATTGCTTAACGCACTGTAAGCCGCCCTGAGTCTCCGGAGAAGGGCGGCATATAAATCAAATTAAAAAAAAAAAAAAAAAGCTCTTTTCTAATTTGAAAGTGTGTTTGTTCTGGGTTTATTCTTGTGGTCCTTCTGCTTCTGTAAATTGGAAATTAGTCTTCTTTTGCCAAGTTGCCCACTTTAAAAAATTAAGACCAACCTTCTTGTGTCCTTTGGATATACTCTAGAGACATTTTCCTAGATAAGTTTCTGATACTGAAGCAGTGTTAATGTCTGTGTGCTGACAAATGTGATCCAAATGTTGGTTTCTTTTCTGCATAGAAAATGGCTATGCCAGCACTGATGAGGAAGTCTCAGAATTCAGTTTGGCTTCAGAGGGAAGGTGAGTATCCTCAGAGAAAGCGAGAGGTGTGAGTGTGTTTAAAAAATGGGAGAAATGGAAATGATTTTTTGTTGACCAGTGAACCAGTTCACAGACATCAAGGAATCCCTATGCTCTATTTTTTATATAAAACAATCCAATTCATCATGGAGTGCTTGTGACAGGAATAAATCAGAGTCTGAGTATTGCACTTAGGGGAATCTCTTCGGGGTTGGTCTCACTTGGATTCTGTATAGGTTCCTATAAAAATTACATTTACCAAAAATCTCCTTCTGTGTCTTGCAGCTTTTCCCAGTCTTTCTTCATGAAAGGTTCTGCTAGTCAGGATGACTTCAAGTGCAGGGTAAGTTGAAAGCTGCATTTGGCCATTGTGGCTATAGGTGTTTTATGTCTGACTGCTCTTCAGTTAAACAGTGAGAGTAGTTTGCAAGAAGTATTAGAATGTAACTGTCCCACCAAGCATTCAAGGCCTAATAGCCAGATATATGCTTTCTTTTTTAATTAGAAATTAGTTGATAAGCATAGTGTTCATTTATGTTTAGTTGATGGATTTTTTGTGTTTTGAAATTTTACTGCTTTTTAATTATGAACCACTCAGAGTCATTAAACTGGGATGGTAAATAATTCATAATTAGTATTAAATATTCATCCTTATCTATTTGTATGTCCCTTTCCTTTATTGTCTTTAGACCAACATTTCTTCAGCGACTTAATGACTCTTGAGACTTATTGCATCCAAAAATTTAGGATGATCACTACGGATAACTCTTACCTGAATTCAAATCTAAATCTTGTGCTACATTTTACCAACCAATAAGGATAGTTAAATTCAGCCAGGGAATAATGCCTGAGTAGCTGATTAATGCTCCTTTTCTGACTTGATTCTTTTGGGACTTTGTTTTAGGGAGAGCCTAAACTGTCTGGTCAGATGAAAGCTGTATCTGCAGAGTGCCTAGGGCCCACATTGGACATCTCCACTAAGAACATCACTAAGTCATTAGCATCTCTCATGGAAATCAAAGAGGACAGTGTTGGATTCTCTATCCATGATCCTTATTATAAGGAGAAAGTCTCCCGTACCATCAGCCTGCCTATCCGAGGGAGCACATTGTAAGTCCTGGTTATAGCAATAGGAATAGCACTTAGACTTATATACCACTTTGTAATGCTTTACAGTCCTCTCTAAGCGGTTTACAGAGTCAGCATAGTGCCCACAACAATCTGGGACCTCATTTTAACAACCCCAGAAGGATGGAAAGCTGAGTCAACCTTGAGCTGGTCAGACTCAAACTCCTAGCAGTGGAATGCCAGAGCCTGAAATACTGCATTCTAACCACTGCACCACCATGGCTCTTACAGAGGCAATGACCTCTGAGTAAATTCTCTTGCATGTTGAGAAGTAGAGATTCTACTGGCTTGAAAATTTGGAGCCCAGTACTTCAGTGTTATTTTGTGTAAACCAATATATGATTCATCCTTTTAGCAACCCAAAATTTGGTTTTTCTTGATGGTAATAGTTAGTGAGCCAGAGAAATAATCAAGCAAGGAGAAAACAACAATCTGTATATTGAGTTCAGGCCAGAATCAGCTTTTTACAGCAAACTTTACAGAAATTTTAACAATAGCATAGAAGTCTTCAATTCATTAGGATTCCATCATTTTTATGAAATCATCTCAAAACTCTCTTCATAATCTTCAGTCAGCTAGCAGCTTCACCTGATACTGGTTCAAAATATACAGTGCCCTAATGAGAAAGTAGGAGCTTTGCTTTGGCTTTGATTACAAAAAGGTGCTTCAGAGAGCATCTCACAATCTCTACCTGCAAATCTTCAAAGCAGCCACAGTTTTACTTTCAAGTAGCAATCACAGGATGTTGGGAAAAGGTGCAGCTGCTTTAAAAGTGTTGCAGACAGATGTTCCTATCCCTATGCTCTGTTCATGTCCCTATGCTCTGAAACCCCACTTTAGAGTCAAAACGTAAGCATTGTGCAGTCTGAGCAGGAACCATTTCCTGCAGGATGTGGCTGCTGAACATTTAGAAAATTTAGTTTATACAAATGACGTAACTTATATTCGTCTCCATCAATTATGAATTGGCAAGGATAAGTATAGGTACTAAAATAAATATAAATGTTTCTGCATATATGAAGGATATTGCAAACATGAAAGGTACTGGAAACTGAATTAATATTCCCAGTCTATTTCAGTTTCTTGACATTTGTTTTTGCAGTGTTTTAAGAGATCATATATTCCCATCTGCTCCCTCATCAAAATCTTTGCATCTGCAAGAAGATTATATACATCCTATCTATCCTCTCTGACACTAGGAATGTTTTGAAGCAAATGATTCCCCAGGCATTTAGCACTTCATTCATTCCAATAAGAGAATTTTGCAAAGAATATTTTCTGTCGTTTTTTTCCTCTCTAGCCCTCGACAGTCCCGAGTCACAGACACTTCACCCCTTACAAGGAGGAAGTCATATGACAGGGGCCAGTCTATCAGGTAAGTGCATAAGAAGGGGCCCCTCAATATATTTTGTTTTCCTTGTCATCCAGTTGACTTGCTTGGTGGAACAGGATCTGAGAGTGGTGAGAGATGATTTGCAAGGAGCAAACCAGCCTCCAATCAGAGTAAATTATCGCATCTTTCTTTCTTGCCTAGAAATCCAGATGTTGGATTCACTCCTCCCTCATCCCCTCCCAGCAGACCACGCAATGACCGCAATGTCTTCTCTCGGCTCACTAGCAACCAGAGCCAGGGCTCTGCATTAGACAAGTAAGATTAACTATGAGATTTGGAGGAGGTTCATTTCCCAAGGATAAAGAGAAGAATTTATGGTTATAGCTGCTGGCTCTAAAAAAAAGTTTCTCCTAATTTTCCATTTTACCCAATACTGGGTTTTGGTTTTGAGTTGTTGTTTTGGTTTGTTGGGGTTTTTTTTTGTTTTTTTTGGGGGGGGGGGCTGGAGATGTGTTGTCCCATTTGCACTGGAGTTAGCTCTCTGCTTCAGCAATGAGGACATTTAACAGCAACCAGACAAGATTTCCCTGGAACTTCCCCAAATATGTAAGAAACCTAAATAACAGTTATACCATTTCCCCATCCAGGACCAGCAACTAATTTTATACATTCCATGATGTCTCCATTGCTAAATGATTGCTGCCTCTCTTCAGTGTATTTAGATGGTTGCTAGGAAGCATGAAATCTCTTTCCAATCGTGTCTGCAGCCTCCCACAGCCAGGAGTCTCATTTTCAAAACTCTGCACATGAATGTTGAGAGGATGCAAGTTTATTTTTTCAAGATAGGTTTGAGTTGCACGCATCTTCCAAATAGCTGTTAATTTGCTCTATTAATGAGACAAGAGTTGCATATGCTTTCTGCTTTCCAAATACCAGCCTGTGTACTCTTGAGATCAGGATATGAGAGAGGGGAATTGTAGCATCGAAAAACTGGTGATGTTCCATTTAGTGCTTTAAGCTAATTTGTCCAGTATAGATCAACTTCAGTCTATGTGGCTATTGAAGTTTCAAATAAAAATAAAAGCAATACAAGAAACATAACTGACAGCCATTTGTAGAGGGAATTTGACACCACAGTGATCATATCCTCATGAGGAAGTATTGTGGAAGTCATAATAGACTTTGCTCACAGGTTGACCACTAGGTGTTACCCACCAATCTTGGTAGATTGCATTGTATGTGTGGTGTCTTTCTCCTCAGAAGGGCCACATATGTGCAATAGTTTTAACACAGGGGTCCCCAAACTTGACAGCTTTAAGACTTGTGGACCAGCTATGCTGGCTGGAGAATTCTGGGAGTTGAAATCCACAAGTCTTAAAGCTGCCAAGTTTGAAGGTCTCTGGTTTAACATCATTAGAGTTTTCATTTCCTTTTTCCTAAAGCAAGTTCCAAGACTTTGTGTATAATATCAAGGGTTTAGCGAGTGAGAAAATATCTATTCAAACTGCAGGTGGTTTCTGCTCATGTTCCTTCTGCTCTTGAGCCCTTTCTGTCTGCAGCCTGCTATCTTTTTTATCTGCCCTGCTAGCTTGGATGCAATAACAAACTTTCCCCCTTCTGACTTTATGCTGCTGCTTTTCTTTCTCCTGGTTTTAATTACCCATAATCCTGCTAATTTTCTATCCCTAGGTCTGATGACAGTGATTCCTCTATCTCGGAGGTGTTGAGGTATAAAACTTACTGTTTATTATATAACTCCTGTGGCCTCTTTCTTCCCCTCCCATTCTATTTTCTCTTCCTGCATTTAAAACCTGCATGTCACCAGACCCTGATGTAGTATTTCTTACCTTCCTCCGTTTCTACTTTCTGACTGCTAAATATACCTCCAGCTGACTAAAGAATGTTTCAGGCCCATTTCCTGTGACTTGGAATACACAGATAGTCCTTGACTTATGACCACAATTGAGCCCAAAATTTCTGTGGCTAAGTGAGACTTTGTTAAGGGAGTGTTGCCCCATTTTATGACCTTTCTTGCCACAGTTGTTAAGTGAATCACTGCAGGTGTTAGGTTAGTAACACGGTTGTTAAATGAATCTGAATCTTTAATTGTTGTTAAATGGCTTCCCCATTGACTTTGCTTATCAGAAGGTTGCACAAGATGTTTACAGGACCTTGGGACATATGAGTCAGTTGCCAACCATCTGAATTTTGATCATAGGGCCATCAGGAAGCTTCAGTGGTCATATGTGTGAAAAACGGTCCTAAATTACTTTTTTCAGTGCCGTTGTAACTTCGAACAGTCACTAAATGAACTGTTGTAAGTCGAGGACTACCTGTAACATGATTTCTTGCAAATTGTCCTTCTTATATGTGTTGAAAATCACCAGCCAGTAGTGGGTTAAAATTCCATTCTGTCTGGAAGTCCTAGTTAAAACATCAGCACGTGTCTGAAGCTTTCAGTCTTTTTTTGCCCAAAAAGCCTTTTTGTTCTGCTGAGTTGACAGGCTCTCCCTCTATTGTTGAATCAGCTGACAATATCCATATAAAAGTTACTCTCTCTCCTAAGTTGATCCTTATCCAACCTCCGTTTGTTTCTGTTCTGCAGAACAGAAATCACTGCGGTCACCAAACTTCCCTCCAAAACAATGGGTAACAAACTCCATAGCACTTTGGGTGAAAGACTGGAAGTTTCAAATATCCTTTCTAAGAATACGCTTTCTGGCCTTTTCTCCTGCCTTAGTAACTATTGCTGCTTCCACCTACTTCCACAAGATACTTCATTTGGAATCCTCTCATTAACCCAAGCCTAGATAGGGCTTGGGAACATTTACTACCTTTATGGCATATTGGGGGGAAAATGAAAAGATTTCTATATTAAAACCTCTAGGCCTTGTAGCGTAGAGGCGTATGACTAGAGCAGAGGTCTTCAAACTTGGCAGCTTTAAGACTTGTGGACTTCAACTCCCAGAATTCTCCAGCCAGCATAGCTGGCTGGAGAGTTGAAGTCCACAAATCTTAAAGCTGCCAAGTTTGAAGACCTCTGGACTAGAGGTTTCAACTATTCCAGTCCCCTTTTGGAAGAGAAACTGTTTTAAAAAGAGAGAAAATGTAAAAATCACTTGTCAATTTTAAAATATTAGATTGTAAACATTTCATGTTATAGGAGACAGATTATTCAGCTTTACAATTTACAATTTACAATATATAGTAGCTGATAAACTAGTTAAATGGAAAAATCCAAAAGACCACTAGATGGCAATGGTCTGCTACAAATGGTGTGATCTCTTTTATAAAATGGGAGATGGTGCAATTTAATAATACAGATTAGAGTAAGTTTCTAAATAAATGTTAGTATCTTTCAGCATAGTCTGAACTATGCATGAACAATTGGATTCAATTCCTTATAGTTGTCTAGAAAAATGTAATATTTCTAGCTATACCATTTTTCCTATTCCTATAGGGAATCGTTATCCTTGTCAGCAAGTGCTCCTTCTGCCCCCTTACTTGGAAATTTCCTTTTGCTAAAAATTCCACTTTTATCAAAAAATTGAGAAGAACAATGATATGTTTCTGCTTTTCTCCACACAGCTTCCTGCTCTGCCTTCCCCAAGTTCTACCCCTACTTTTTAAAAGAACAAAGCTTTTTCCTATCCAGGAGATTGTTGTTGAGCTTATTTTTCTCTGCCCATGTGATACATGCCTTCCTACTTGCCAAAGGAAATCTCTCCATCTTCAAACTGTTGATTGAAACATAAGTGGTAGTTTCTAGCCTGTACATTCACTAAAAATATAAGATTTTGTACACTTTAGCCTCATTCACACGGTTTCCTTGTCTTAGCATGACAATATCCTATAGTACTAGCAATTTGCAGAGGACCTGACCTTATGCCAGCATCAGTACCTTACCATCAACCCTCATCTGTGGCATTCTGAAGACAGCTTTAGATGCCCTGTTCTTGAAATGATTTTCCACCTTTTGTCCAGCTCTAAGCCTTCCATCTGGATGATCTATGGAGGATGAGTGACCATTGGAGTCAGCAATCTGCTTGGCTCCAACTTCTGCTGCAGATCTGCTGTAGGACCTCCCCTTCTGTCAGTACTTGGGCTCTGCATCTCTACAGCAATTGGCTGTGAGGCTTGCTGGGGTTTGGGCTTCTGTGGCCATTTGTTTAGGTCAATTTAAGAGACATGGAGCCTTAAAACTGTCTAGCTCATCCTTGGCTTAACGCAGATAATTGAAATTGTAATGGAAAGGACAACTCAAATATTTCGGCAGCCAGTAGAAGTCCTGGTTCCTCCTTTCTTTTTCTGATGTAATAATTTACATTTCCCACATGAAAAATTTGACTCTCAAACTCCAGCTCTGCAACATTTACCCAGTAAATGTCTATGGAGATTCTGAGTCATCCAGGTCATGGTTGTCCCGAAGGTGCTTTTTCAAGAGGCAACTGGACTTTCTGAGCTTCTTGGATGAGAAGCGAAACATATTCGAAGAAAAACCAGAAAGTCCAGTTGCCTCTTGAAAAAGCACCTTTAGGATTTATCCAGTAACTGCATCTCAGTCTCTGCTACTCATATCAGGATTACCCCTAGGTGGCAGCCAAAAGACATAGAACTCTCATTTTTTTCTGCCAGCAGTCGGTTGACAGTTTTAAGGAATTTAAACAAGAAAATTCACTCAGTTGATGATGCAGCAGAAAAAAGAAAAATTGTAGTGAATTGAATAAGCATTTATACATGCCAATTGGAAGCATTTTTCACATGATGCATCCATTGTGAGTGGGTTTAGAATTTCAGCGAATAAAGACACCAATCACTGCCCTCAGAATGTTACGTATTAAAATTGTACAGCTAACCGTGCAACACAGATCTGTTCCAAGTATATGGGAAAGGCGCACTCTAGGGGCACCAAAATTTTCTCTCAAGTCTAGAACAGGAGGGAAGCATGGCAAAGCAACTCTATGGCCATAATAGATGCCTTTGAATTACATCACACACAAAAAAAGAGGATACTATTTTAATAAATATTAATTACACTTAAGGATGACTTAAGAGCTAGTTTGTTGTAGTGGTTAAATTAATCAGCCTAGAAACTGAGAGACTGTGAGTCCTAGCCCTGATTTAGACGTGAAGTTAACTGGGTGACTTTGGGCTAGACAATCTCATTTCTGAGATGTCAAGTCACTTCTGAAATATGTAACCAAAGAAAACTTGTCTGGATACATGAACCTGTCAATGTAATTGCTGTGGTTAGGTATAAGTGATAATAGGCCTGAAGATCTTGAAGCTGCCCATTTGCACGTGAACTATATTAGTAACATATCTCAAAACATACACATAGAGTGATACACACACACTCACACTCACACACTCACACACACACAAAACATTAGGTGAAAAACATTAAAATATGATGCTTGTTTTTATTTGAAACTCAGAATATATTTTCTATGAGTTTCAATTCCCATTCCCTTTCTAGGGATTCCAGAAAAATCTGTTTTTCTGGGCCAGCGTCCAGGACTTTCTTTTTCCTACTTTAACCCCAAAGTCAAATCGTATCTTTTAAAGCCAAAATTGTTGTTACAAAAAAACTTTTTTTATTTGCATATTATATTCTAGTCTCCTATTTGTGAATATTCTATTCTGATCACAAAATTGTGTGCACTTTTTGCACTATGTACAGCATCACCAGAGCGTGATATATTTCATTCATCTATAGCACAGGGTTGAAGCCAATTTTGGCCAGTTTCTCAGTCCCTGTACAGAATGGAAAAAGGGATGAAAAAGAAGAGAACAGAGAAGGGCAAGTTTAAGGCAATTAGAGATACACATTTTTTTCCATTTTGAGGATCTGAGGAGAGCAATGGGTGAAATAACTATGCTATTACTGTATTTAATCAGAGTGAGCAGTGGGCAGTGATGGATTTCTGGGGGGGCAGATATGAGATTTAAATTGAAAAGTTTAAATGAAAATTCAACCACATGTGTTTGCTTTTGAACCCATTTTTGTTGTTTTCCACCAAAAATGTTAGGAAAATGGGCTGTCATTTCTTGGTGGTGGAATTTCAAAATTTGCCAGTGCTTTCTGGGAGCTTTTGAGAGAAAGAGAGATTGAGGATATAAATTGCAGTTACATCAGTTGCAGGTTGCCATTCTGGGTCTGTAATGTTTAGTTCAGTCTTTCCAAAGCAGTAAAAAACTTTCTGTCAGAAATAATCAATGGAATAGCATCACATATTTTTACTTCATTTGCTTCCATCAGTATATAATAAAACAAACAAGCAAAATAAATATCTTCACATTCTAACACCTAAACACATTCTAAATACTTTAGCTTCTTTATTGCAAGACCACGTAGTAGTTGTTATCACTTTACAGGTGATGATCTAAAGTGCCAATCTTAGGTTATCCTTCTCTGGCATGTCAATATTCACTGGTGAAGTGGCTGCTCCAGAGTAGAATCAGATTCATCACCATCATTTTAGCCATTGCTTATCCACTGCAGGATGAAGGCCTCTTCCACATGTTTCCAACCAATACGATCCTGAGCTTTCGTTTGCCAATTGGGCCTGCAATACTTGCTGATGTCGTTCACCCTTTCATAAATCAGAAGTTTCATTTTTTTCTACTTAGACAATGTACTTGCACTCTTTTAATTGTTTTGTTTTCTCCCATGCAAGGGGGATCATTAATCCTGTGGGAGGTTCCAGGAGTGCCCGGACAGCACCACTGCAATGCATTTCTGTGGCTGAAGGACACACCAAGCCAGTATTGTGCTTAGATGCTACTGATGAATTGTTATTTTCTGGATCCAAAGGTACGTTTGTCTGGTTTTGATGACCTAGATGCTGGAAGGATTGAACAGTGCTGCACACATGTTCTAAAGGGAGTTACATTTGAATGGATTCTTTGTGGGAACCATATGTCTATTATGATAGCTATCGATTCATACCATAATCCACCTTTTTTGAGGACACATTTTCAGAGTCACCTATACTCCTAAAAATAAGTGGGTGGCAATCTGTAACTCACAGATTAATAACTCTATTAAGACAGTTTCAGAATCCAGGTTAAGAAGAATATGTGTCTCCTGAACCAATCAGTTGTGATGGTTTCCATGTGCATGCCTCTTATAATTTACTGGAGACTAGTAGCTTCTTTTCTCAACAGAGAAGAAAAAGCCATTCTGATTTAGCTTTCTTTCCTTTCCAAAGATCGGAGTTGCAAAATGTGGAACTTAGTGACAGGACAGGAAATTGCATCTTTGAAAGGTCATCCAAATAACGTAGTCTCCATAAAATACTGCAGTGACTCTGGCTTGGTATTCACAGTTTCTACCTCTTACATCAAAGTATGGGATATCCGTGATTCTGCAAAGTGCATCCGTACTCTCACGTAAGTAATCACTGCATTGCATGCTTTACAATCATCTTTCCCAAGATCCCCTATGCCTTTAGGATGTAGTAGGAATACAAATTCCAGATTTCCCAAGCTAGAATATCCCATGAATGCACTGAATGAATATTGTGGAAGCTGGAGTCTAACAAACCAGGTGGATAACCATCTGGCTAACATCACATGAAATTTGGCTTTCTTAAGCCAACTGAGAAGAAAAGAGTTAGTCTTATCTTGTTTAAACCCGTTGTTGGCTCTAATCACTTGGGTTAATTAATTCTTATTGCAGAGAAAGATATCAGAAAGCAAGCTATGAGTTACTTTTTCTTTTTGTACTGGACAATTATAACTGCAGTTAGCTATAATTGTAAGATTGAGTAAGATTGTGAGTAAGACAAGTAAGATTGAGAAATAATTTATTCTAGTTATGTGAGTTTGCAGTATGTAAATCAATGGGGATTCTATAGTCTCTTGTAAGGGCAAACATCTACTGTTTTCTCACTGAACTCCATTCATACTTTTGTCAGATATATTTGATGTTTCAGACCCTCCCCCCCTCTCTCTGTCCATTAGCTCCTCAGGCCAGGTGATCACTGGAGATGCCTGTGCTGGGACCACTACCCGGACTATCACCAGTGTGCAAGGCGAACACCAGATCAATCAGATTGCACTTAATCCCACAGGCACCATGCTTTACGCAGCCACTGGCAATTTTGTCCGCATTTGGGAGTTGAACAGGTCAGAAAGAAAACAGAAATCATTTCTTTAACCTGTGTCCTGTAGTGCATTGGACTATTATAGCTTGCTTCTCAGAGTTGTGGATGCTCCATTCCTGGAGGTTTTCAAGAACAGACTGGACAACCATTTGACTAGGATGGTATAATGCTCCTGCCTTGAGCAAGGGGCTGGACTAGAAGATCTCCGAAGTCCCTTCCAGTTCTATGATTTTCTATACATATCATCCCCAGTTAATGGGGACAGTGAGAGATGTAATATGGGATAATATGAGAGACCTACAAATTGTACAGCAGGATAAGCAATCAGCAACTCCTGACACTGCCCACAGTAGACAAGTGGTTACCAATGTATGAGAATGCCCAGAAGAGAGTGACAAGGAGTTGTTGAAGTATATTGTCATTGCTTTATGTTTCAGAGAATGTGCATGCTGGGGTTGCCAGTACAGGGAAGGGGCAAAAGAATACTTTTTCTCAGATAAAATCTGCCTATAATGTTTTGATCACTATTGTAGTGTTTGGCTATTTATTGGCTTATTTATATGTTAAATAGGTTTCAGCCTATTGGAAAGCTGACAGGTCACATTGGCCCTGTGATGTGTCTCACAGTGAATAGGACTGCAAGCAATCATGACTTAGTAGTCACAGGATCTAAGGATCACTACATTAAGGTATTATTTAAGTTTTGTTGAGTGTATTAGCATATTCAGGAACATTCTATATTATTGACAGTCTGGTTCCTCTCCTTTCAAATTGTCTATCTGTCTGTCTGTCTGTCTGTCTGTCTGTCTGTCTGTCTGTCTATCTATCTATCTATCTATCTATCTATCTATCTATCTATCTATCTATCTCTGTATCATCTAGAAGAGAAGAGAATTTCTGATCCAGAAGAAAGATGAAGCTGTTCACATTCAGGCAATAGAAATGAAAAATTACTAAAGAGCAAATGAAACCATTCCATTAAGCTCTGCTTGGTCTCACAGTTAGCATTTGCTTGCAACTTGGCTCTATATAAATTCCTGGGAAAGAAATTAATTGAAAACCAAAACAGGAGCTATCCAACAACTGTGATTATAACAATTAGTTCTAATGAATATCTGCATTTAGTTCCCCACTGCATTTCTTACAAAAGATGCAAAATAAGCCCATACCAGCTAACTCATATCTCCGGTTCCAAAATTATTGCATATAATCTTCCTGTTTAAAATTTAATATTGAGAAAGGGAAGATGGTCCTCTTTCTCTATCACTGTTCCTTCGTCTTTAACAGCAAAGTGCCATATTGAGCCCAAAGCTTGAACTTGAACAGTGGTCCTTAATTAGCTACTCTTTTTCCTAAGAAGTTCTATTTTGCAGATGTTTGAGATTGCTGAAGGTATCGGTGGGAACATTGGACCTTCCCACAACTTTGAGCCTCCACATTATGATGGGATTGAGTGCCTAGCTATTCAGGGAGACATACTCTTCAGTGGTTCCCGTGACAATGGGATCAAGAAATGGGACTTGGATCAACAAGAACTCATTCAGGTATCAAAATACTAAGCTATGAATCATTGGGGAATAAAAGAGGAGGAGAATTAAGCTTGGAAAGGCAGTGAGAGAAATCAGATGTTTAGGCTAATGTTAAAGATAACATGGCAAAGTGTCCCTCTGTGCTAAGTGTATTAGTGGAATCTGATTTGTACTAATGTTACATCGTAGGAATGAACTACCTTATGTCTAGTGGCACTTTCTGACACACTTCTTCCCTCCACATACAGTTGTGCGGTAGGGTCAGTTGTAGGGTTACCCAGGTTTCCAAAACATATTTGAAGAATGCTTATGTAATTATAATAGAGAAAATATTCCTTTCTACTAAAGGATGTTATACTATTTCAGGGACCATTTGATTCATCCCACTGTCATCTGTTCCATAGCATTAGTACATTAATAGTTAGTGCATTTTCAGGGTATAATTTTTGCCTCTATAGCCTTAGCACATCTTTTCTGTATCACTGATCTCGAAAATCTTGAAAAGTTTCAAGAATTATGAAAAGGGAAACAAATACCTCTTAGTTCAATGTAGTCAACTGAGTTATTTAATCCAATAATTTCCTTCCTTTAATTAGCTATTAGGACAAGACTTGAGCCCTTTCTGATTTACTGTATTCCTGTTTCCAGCAAATCCCTGCACATAAAGATTGGGTTTGTGCTTTGGCCTTTGTGCCCAGCCGGCCGATGCTGCTGAGTGCCTGCCGTGGTGGGACAGTGAAGGTCTGGAATGTTGACAACTTCACACCTGTTGGGGACATCAAGGGGCATGATAGTCCTATCAATGCCATCTGCACAAATTCAAAGCACATTTTCACAGCTTCCAGGTGAGTGTTTAAGTAGAATCCTATTATATCCAGGGAGGGGTTCCAAAAGGCTGTGCCGCCTTGATCCCATGATGTATAATTGATGTGTTCAAGATAATATTGCTTCATTAGAGCCCAAAGACTGAGGGAGGGAGCCAAAGGAGCCACGGGTGAGTGACTGACTGTTCATCAAGTGCCACTTTCTATAGTGCTGCAGCCATTGACTGTTCATCTTTAAGCCAAAGAAGAATTTTTTATGAGAGTTGTTTTGTTTATAGCTTCTTCATATAATGCCATTATGAGTGAATAGCCACCTTCAATGATCCCAAAAAGAAATCCTGAAAGAATGTAGTATTGCTATCTGAATAGCTTACTGAATCAGACAATGCATACTTGATTAAGGCAGTTTTAAATGTTTTTTCTATATATTCAGAAACCAGGAGCATAGCAGTGGGGATTCTTGGTAGCCTGCCATTATAAGACATGATTCTTCTGGCAAAGCTGGGGTTGGAAAACAAGCAAGCGCTCAATGCTTGGCAGAAGTGCATCTCCTGGGGGGGGAGGGAACGGGTGGGAACAACTAAGAATACATCATTCACTTTCTTCCCTAAGGCAATCTCTGATCTCCACTTTTCCGACCATGTTTCTTTTTTTCCTTTTCTGTTTTCCTTTTTCTCTTCTTCTTCTCCTTCTCTTTCTGTTTCTCTTTCTCTATGCCACAGTGACTGTCGGGTAAAGTTATGGAATTACGTGCCTGGGCTCACCCCCTGCCTTCCACGACGCGTCCTTGCCATCAAGGGCCGTGCCACCAGTCTGCCTTGATCTTCCTCCTTCTTCTCTACTCTCCTGCTTACTTTTTCTTGCTGTGTTCTCCCTCCCTGCCTCTCTTTGTCTTCCCTGTCCCTCTCTCTGGGAGCTGATTTCAGCTGCTTCTTGACGGTATGCAATGCTTACTTGCTTTTCTTTCCTTTGAAGGGACAGTAAGTGAAGGTGTCTTCTAAGAGAGAATTCATTCCCTATTTTACCTCCTAAATGGGCATCCTAAATGCACCTCCTATTCTTCCCTAACTTTGCCAATTTGGTTCCAATGTCAAGTGGTCTGTGCTTTACTTGGAAACCTGTTATACTGAAATAAGTTTAAAGTTGCTCCTAGTAAAATCAGTTCAGGGTCAGTGTGTTGAGGGACAATTGGGTTCCAGTAAGGTACTTCCAATTCACTGCCTGGTTTTTGCAGTATGAGAACCAGTCAGTGTGATATAGTAATGAAAATGTTGGACTACAGATGAGGAGATATAGATTCAAACCACCCTCAGGTTTGTAAGTTCTCTGAGTGACTTTGGGTCACTCTCTCTCTCTCTCAGCCCAAGCTGTTGCTAAGAGGATAAAATGAATGGAAAGCCATCAGTAAGCCATCTGGATTTCCCAGAGGAAATATGGAATAGAAATCTAGTTTAAAAATTAAGATCTCTGGGCCTCCCCTCTACATGTATCAGAATAGAATAATGAGCTCAAGAGTAGTTTCTAGGCCTTTGGGTGTCACAGATAGGTGAAAGATGGGAGAGACCTAAAACTTCTCTATAGGCAGTTTAAAATAATAGTATCCAAACTAATGTAAAATGTGTTTTAGTGAACCTGCTTTATAAAACTATGCTTAAATTAGTCAATTTTATGTTGAAGGAAAAGCAGTTATATGGGGGACGAGGTTAAATTACCTCCAGATCTGCCAAATCTGATTTATTCCCTGAGTTGCAATTTGCAATAAAATGGCATCTTCAGGGAGAAATAGAAAGTATTGCAGATAAGCAGAATGATGGCTTATATCAGGAAAGCACCAAAGGACTCAGATCAGGGACCCCTGTAGTTCTTTTCCTTGAAAATGAAAATGTGCTGGTATGCCATTTTAAAGTATACCATTTTAAAGTACATTTAATGTAATAGATAATTTGGCTTTTAGTTTTTTTCTGTTTCTCACTTCATGTAATGCTTTGGTTTCAAATGTACAAGCTTTGTTTTTTTACTGATATTCCTCACATTCTTATCCTTTTACCTTTATTCCCAGTGACTGCACAGTGAAGCTCTGGAGTGCGAGGAAGCTACTGAACAGCACAAACTAGAAGTTGAGAAAAAACAGCTATGATCTTAAGAAGACTAAGATGGAGCTTGGCTAGGAAGTAGCATTTAATCTCTCACACCCAGGGCTTCAGGATGAGATGGGTGCCTGGTTTTCTGACAAGTACATGGGTTGGAGAGGGCAAAGGAAGTCTCCTTTTCCGTTTACATGTTCAAGTCTCCTTCTCTGTCAGATGTCTATGGTGGCAGCCATGGTAAAACAGAGCCAAAAAAGAAGACAAAATTAGGTGCCGAGGTTCTTTCAGCCAGAATCCATCTGACAAGTCTACAAAATAGGGTGTTTTGAAAAAAAGGAGTCAAAATATTTTATAAATCAGAATTAGATTTTTCATCCTTGTATAATTAAACGAGGCTTTCCCATGGTTTCCAGTTCTCCAGGAACTGCCTATATCCTGATTATGCCCATAAGACGTTACAGTGAAAATAATTAGAGAGAAAATCAAGGGTTACCAGTTGATGGTTTTGTTTTAGGGCAGGGGTCTCCAACCTTGACAACTGTCCGCCAGGCTTAACATTGCCAAGGTTGGAGACCCCTGTTTTAGGGGGTATTCCTTGTTCTAGTTGGTCTTTCAAGAGGATTTATGAAGTACTGACTTTTATTTCTTACGTTTATCTGTGAATTGCTATTTGTTTTCTTTTTGAAAGGGGGAAGGATTGGAGGAGAATGCAAGAAAATGAGCCACTTTAATTTGAGCACATAATGTAGTGATTCTCAGTGGTCAGTATAGATTCAGAATTGGCCAGAGGTTTTCTATTTCATTTGCCAAATACTCTTGAAGTTGATTTTCCCAGATTCCTGGAATGACAGTATTAAAAGAAAAAAGACAACTAACAATTGTATGATACAGAGCGATATATTTAGTAACTGATTTGATGAACTTTGAGAACTTCAGAAGGGTTGTTGTTTCCTGAATACCAGTTATAAAGCTGGATGTTTTTTTTCTAAATGTTAGATAAGCAACAAGAAAGAGAGACCTAAACTGATTAAATACATTTGGGATTCTCCTTCATGCCATCATTTGGCAATTCCAGCAAAGAAGTAACCTGGACATGCCACTTTCTCTTCCCATTCTCAAATTATTATATTTCGGTAACAAAATGGCAGCGACTGCAGAAATCAACTGTCCCCTATCACTGGAAAAAGGACATTTTTCCTCCTCCTTTGTCTGGGAACAGAAAAAATGTGGAACCTTCCCTTCCAGCTTTCAAACAGGGTAAGGAAGATTTGAAATGCTAAGCACAAGGGTGTTGCAATGCATTCCTGTATTACTGGGGAGATAATGAGCCTGCCCCTCTTAATCTCACCCCCAGCATCTTTTTGGTTGTTGTTGTTTACATCTTTTTCAAACATTCACATTTCCATGTCACAATAAGGAGCAAACTGATAAAAGTTGATGCTCTGTGTTTAGAAACTTGAATTTTTCACAGGATATTGTTCACTGCACTTGATTTTTAGCAGCAAACATTGGCTTAAGCCCTCGAAGATCCATCACTGCGTAGAAGCTTTCATCTGTGTGCAATGTAGCAGGGCTGTCCAAGCCTCTCTGAAGGATTGATCAAGCACTCTTCACATTGTTATAGGATTCATCCTTAAAACTTTTAACTTGTGTTGTACTCTTCCATCAGAGGACCGAGGATTTAAACTGATCACTCAGCAGCAGACTTGGGAAAGCCATTCGCTAGTAGGGAAATATGGACCAGCAGGTTAAAGCAATTTGCTTTCTGGATGCTTTGGATCTTTCTACAGCTCTGCTTTTAGTTTGTAGGAGTCTTTGCTCTACTGCCCCGGATTAGGTTGGAATTCTGTCCATTCATTTGTGTTATGAAAATCCCTTTCTCTACACTTAAGCTGCTGATTCTTCCATCCAAGTGGAAAGTTGCATTGTAATTCTAAATAGGTGTTCAAATGATTCTGTGTTTTGTCTTGTGCAATTGGGGGTAAGGGGAGGGGGGGGTAGCAAAGAGAGGTGTGTGACTGCGATTTTAAGAGGGTGAGAGCTTGTTTTGAGTTAACCTACCTCATGGTTCAAGGTGTTTTCTCATTTTGTTGTGTTTTTTTTTTTTGTTGTTGTTAATAGAACTTGAATTGATCTGGGAAACACACAGTTTCACTGGTCCCAATTTCTAAGCTCAAGAGGAGAGTATGATGAAAGGAAGCTGGCCTCTGTGTAATCTCAGAGGGAGCTTTTACATATTAAGGCTGCACTGTGTTTACTGCATCTTGGTGTCTTTTGCAGCCTTATTTTAACTCAGCACTCTAAACTGAGTGGGGAGGTGGGTCATACGATTCCAAGATTGGAAGAAGATAATCTTCCAGAAAATCAGCACAATCTTTATTTCTGCACATGGAACCCAAATTGTTTTTTTTATTGTTTTTTGGTTTTTTTTTGCTATTTACTGAAGTTTGTGATCCCCTTTGAATGTTTTTGCCTGCAGAAATCTTTGAATAGATTGTGAATTAGCTCAGCATTCTCCATTGACTTATGTTATTTGTTTAGAACGAAGAATATGAAGCATACAAAAGTTAATATTCAGTATTTGTGTAAATCTATCTGCCAGGGGATACTTTTTATAGGTTAAATAAAGGATTGTGTGATTTGTGGTCCTCCAGAAGTTCAGCTTCCATCTTTCCTCACTTGGCCAGTTCAGATTCAAGAAAAGTTAGTGGAAGCCACACATTCCTTCTTAAATTACTGCCCATATTTGCCATAGAGTTCTGGGTGGCTCTTTCTTTCTTATCCTTTGGCACCGGGTTATTCTCCATTTTTTGGGGAGGGGAGGGTGAACCTTGCCTCTTTTAATACTTCTGATCCCATGGATGTAGTAGAAGGGGAATTAAGCTGATTTATTGGGTTTAATAAGTATAATTTACCCTACTGTTGATTGTACTTGAAGCACATAATTGAGAGGATACAAAATAAGCAACAATGGACATTTCATCTCTCTCATAATTTTCAAAAACTGAACAACAGGTTACCGTAATAAGACTAATGAGACTAATAATGGTTTTGCAGCTCTGCAAGGATGTTTTAGAACATGTTATCATGCTGTCCCTAAGGCTAAACTCTCAGTTTAAGAAGCCTACTGATTGTGTACTAATGTACACCAGCCACCTCAGTCTAGGGTTGGGACGATTGTTTTAGTTGCAGTCCCAGCATTACCTGGATGTGACCAGGTTGAAATTTTGTTTCAAACAACAGGTGCCTTTCCTTATCCTGAAAGGTCGGGTTTTTTACCCATAGAAAACACTGGTGCTTGTCTGGGGCTTCTGTGAGGGCTGTGTCATCTGGCAAAATGGTATTAAGTGTGAATGTGTGTGTGTCTGTGTGTGCGTGTGTGCATGTAAGGATACAATGTATGTAATATTTTATACCTCTGTGTAAATAATGTAAGTTATTTAAAGTTTCTGATGTACATGGTTTTCCAATGAATGTTTTTGTTCCTCCTGGTAATAAATTTATTCAACTGAAATCCCAAGTCTGGTTTTTACATTAAAAGTCTAATGCAAAGTTTTTTTTAAAAAAATTAAATCGGAAGCTTGCGGGTTTGAGAAGTTGGATCCCTGAGCTATTACAGAACAAATGCAAGGATTAAAAATAGCGAAGAACTTGGAAATAGCCCTGAGCAGACATGGAGAACTTCAGTCTCAGAGGCCTAATCTGATAAAGTAGCTCACAGTCCTCCAGTATCCCTTACCATTCGTTCCTTGCATAGAAAGTTTTCTGCATAGGGAATGGCCTTGAAGGGAGAAAAATTAACTTTAAAAAGACATTTCTCTTTCCCAAACGCTTATCGCGTTCTAACATCTATGTCAATGATGGCTAACCTTTTCGCCATCGTGTGCCAAAAGTGGGGGGAGTGGGGGCGGTCACGCACCCATGTGCCCACACCCATAATTTAATGCTTCCCCGCGCATGCGACACCCCTGCACTCCCCCCGCTTTTGACACGCAATGTCAAAAAGGTTTCCAGTAGATCTGGTAGGCCTGTTTTTCATCCTCCCCAGGCTCCAGAGGCTTTCTTGGAGCCTGGGGAGGGCAAAAATGGCTTTTCCCACCCCCCTGGAGGCCCTCCGGAGGCCAGAAACAGCCCGTTTCCTGACTTCTGGTAGGCCTGGAAGGCCTGAAAATCAGCTGGCCAGCGCATTCATTCATGCTGGAGCTGAGCTAGGGCAATGCTCACATGCCCACAGATATGGCTCCACGTGCCACCTGTGGCACGCGTGCCATATGTTCGCCATCACGGATCTATGTGTTCAGGCAAAATTATCCCCTCCTCCAATTTTCAAATGAAGAATACAACAGAAAGTTTACACTTATTCTAAGGTAGCAGGCTTATTACTCTTTTAATGTTTTCTAGACTATTAAACTATTCCTTGAGTGCACAAAACCAGAAGTGTGAAAAGTGAGATGAATGATACAAAAACATTTCTAGTGATTAGGAATGAAGCAGCTCAAAACCACTTGTCAGCTCCAGCGTGCCTTCTCATTTCCGGGTCATGTGGGAGGGAGCTGTGCGTGTGATTGGTTGGTTGGTGCTTATAGTTTAAAAGGTGGTAGGGAGCATGGGCGAGTAGCCCTAAAAAGATTTTCCTTTTGCGATTGTCAGTGCGTGCCAGAAGAGAAGTAAAGCAGGCAGTAACAAACCAGGTTCGTGTTTGACTGTGTTCCTTTCTTTTTCTTTTCGTGTGTAACCTGACACCACTGTTGTTATACAAATTGCCTTTTGTAAATCATTCAGTGTTCACAAAGACTTCTTTTCAGAGGTCTGGGCAATATAGGTTCTAGGTTGGGCTGAATCAAACTCAATGCAATTTTTAATATAAAGTTGAAGTGAAATAGATTTTTTTCATAGGTATTAGTTTTCACTTTGTGGAAGAAAAAAAAAGTTTGAAAAATGGACAAGTTTGAATTCTGACATACAGAGTAATTGAGGTAAGAAAAATGTCATTTGAAGAAGCTGAATTCTAATATTTATATAAAATTACAATTACTAGCAAAAGGCTGTCTTCTGGTTCTCTTTCCCCTTCATATCTTAATGACATGTCATCAGAACATTGCCGACAATTTTTTAAAATAATGTAAATAGGTTGAACATTTCCTTAGCTTGATTTCTACTTTTAATGAAGCCAAAAGGCATAGAAAAACCGGAAAATAGTTGGCAGTACTAATAATTTACCAAAACTTAGAACTGTAGTATATACCCTTGAGAAGGATTGAATATTATTTCTACCTTGTAGGCTAAACTTTGCTGTAAGGTTATACAGAAAATACTGCGGGAGGGAAAATGTTCAATCCAAGTGTTTTGGATTGGTTGCGGCTTGGTAGGAACAAAACCCACATTTCCATTGGCTAAAGTTTCTGCTAAAACAGCATTCAGAGGGATTGTGGAGTAATTTTTATACAGTGGGATACTTTGCCCTCTTCTTCTCTTGCCTTTGCTCAGCTACCATCACGAAGTTCCAATGTGGCACTGGCCCACCTGATTCTGATCTTTCCAGTGCCTTCTCTGTCCTCTTACATTGTCACTGTCACCACAAGTTTGCACATGCCTTCAAACTTGGCTTTTTCCTGCTTCTCCCCTCCCTGACCAACATCTACCCAGAGGAACCATGTTTTAGTCCATCTTTGGAACAAAACAGCCCAACAAGTGTTTCCAATTAGGCACAGATCGCCACAGGTTAGCTACTCCACACATACGTTGCTCAACTCTAAGATTGCTGAGTTTATTGTTGAATTACCGTATGAATCTATGAGACTAGTTTCTGGCTGGCTCTGCGTATGTCTTTATGTAAACCATCTTGTTTCTTGCAAAAGAGGTCAGTAAATAGCGACTTGTTTTCCTACAGCCGATAAACCAGTCATTAATCTCTTCTGCAATAAAATTAAAGCTGGTTGTCTGGCTCAGTGCTAGATGATTATCAGCTATGTGACATGCAATTTGTTCTATATAGGCAACCCCGGTTCCATAATTTAATGAGGATTGCATACAAAAGTTGAGCGATAAGTTTTAGTTCATCCATCAAAATGGACCTCTTTTTAATACAAAATTCCATTAAAACTGAAAATAAGGATTCATACACAGGTCCACAGATTTGTGAATTACATTAGTCTAAAGAAAGGCAGAATAACAGAACAGAGCATGAAGTACCATTGGCTGCATTGGGTAGCTTTCTTTCGGAACAAAGAAAGCAAATCCAGTAATTGGGAAGGAACCTGGGCAGGTACACATACATTCTATTTCCACCAGAAAGTAAGTTGTAGTCAGAAATAGCTCTGACTACAAAAATCCTACACTAATTTCATTTCCATAATCTATAGACACTCTAAAGTTGTTTCCAGCACAGACCTAAGGGAATAAATAGGCAGACAAACCCTAATTACTTTGATTTATATTTCACATAATACAAGAAACATAAATTCTGTTGTCATCAGTACACTGTTTCAATTCATCATAGGAACACGGTCTCACGTAACTTGCAGAACAAGTCCCAAAGTTTCTCTTCCAAATAGAAGGAGCACAAGGTGCAAGAACGTGTCAAGACTTGAATTAAGGCCTCTTCTTCCCCTCCCAGACAAGGGCCTAAGAGGTAATCATCCTGCTCATGCTTCCAGGGTCTAAACCTGAGTAATGATTTCTCCATTTTCCGGGACGTAGACCTGCACAGGGGCTCCTTCAGGAGAGCGTTTGAGGATATGGATACGAGGTACCTGAAAGTTCAAAAGAAAACCTTTAATAAAACTGTTATTTTTAGCAGGGCTTCCCATTACCTATTTACTCTATTACCACTACAATTCATCTATTTTATTTTTATTTAGTGTAAGGCATCTGCAGAGAGTCAGGAACGACTAGCACATATGTGCAAGGGGAACCTTTACCTTTACTTTATCTGCAGAGAACATGCAATCACCGATATACAAATTTAGTTTAAATAAAGCATCTCTGTGTGTGTGTGTTTGTGTACACACGCACACAAACACACACACTACAATATAGGAGATAAAATATTAAGATAAAACCATAATAAAATCACCATAACATGAAGCTATAGAATTCAGTGGGATAGACGTTATAATTCACTATCTAAGGAAGCTAACCATCTGTTTCTATTAAGAAATTAATTTATTAAAAGAGGGGGAAAGTATGTGACAAATGGAGATAATTACATTACCTTCTGCCTTAAACTGTGTGCCCAACAGCCTGCATGTTAACATCAAGACTAATTTAGAGAAGATGGCATAACAGATGGACCATTCCTATGTACTCCACTGCTAAAATCAGTAGCACCTCTTAGGAGAAAATTCAGGAACATGGCAATAGAGTAGCTACTCTAGCTGGCTGCATGGGTCTTACAGATCACTAATTTATGTTTTAGAATTTCCCATTCTACTTGCAGTGCTGTGCAGTCAAACAACTATGGATATGAGAGCTCAGGAAACATCAAGAATTGGAAATGTCTCTGCTAATCTGTTATTATCTAAAATACTTCACAACTGAAGTGAAACCCATCAGGTTTCTATTCATTCACAGTCAATGGCCCGAATATCAGGCGAATGTCAGCTACATTAGCCTGTTGTGGCAAATTCAAGAAGCACTGGGAGAATTTTAAAGACTAGCATATATAATATAAGCCCATTTAATGTGATGCTCACACTGTGTAAGCAGTATTTCTCAGGCTGATAAACATGAAGCAGATTTCATGCAGTTGGATTCTAAGTTTGTGCCTAGAATTCTTAACTCCAAAGCTCACAAACCAACCCATCCAGTTAAGTACATGATTTTAATAGTGGACTTTCAGGACTGGTGGTAGAGCATTGTGAAGGGTTACTCTCCCATGACATTACTGCATGGCTTCAGCGTTCTACTTAAAACAGATTAGAAAAAATGCAATGAGCTGTTCAAGAACCTGCCTTTCTAGCTCATGCAACCACTTCCTAGGATAACAATTTTGCAGCTCTGTTTCAAAGGAGTGGAAGGTAAGCATTAGGGATTATGAGAGGAGGAAACCAAGGGCAAGCTCACACTTGCATGGTGTGGGCCTGCGCTGCAGGCAAGGGAGATGTCCAAGGAGATGAAAGTTTTACTCCTTATGAAACATTCACACATCTGAAGGGGGAAAAAAATATAGAACAAACAAAAAATGATCCATACCGCACAGATTCCTTTCAATGACTACTTTTCTGAAAATAGGTAGTGAAAGCATTCCCAGAATCCTCTGCCATGGCAAAGATAAGAGATACTCCCTCAAGTCCAACTTGACAACTGGTGACTACATGGCAATGGTCAGAAATTGGGATCATTTTTGTCAATCACACAAAATTTGCCCCTGCCTTCTTTCAGGACAACTTTTTCAACTTTTCATTCTAGTTTACAGCCCTGCATTGCTTGGTGATCTGGAACCTGACTAATAACCAGGTCTGATTTTGTGTGGCCATTTGAGATCAACCAAATTAAGCTTATCTGGCAAGGCTTTTGCCATAACCCTCAAAAGCAGCTTTTTCATCAGATGCCCTTCAGATGAATTAGCATGGAATTGTGGGAGTGGAAGACCAAGTCTCCAGAGGACACTAGGTTCAGAAAGGCTGCTCAAAACAAAGGAGCCTATGTGCAATTTAACCATTTCCCACCAGTTTCAGATAAACTTAAACTGAACAATAGATATGATTTATCAAATCAGGGATGAGTTCAGTAAAAGTGCAGTGGGCAAAATTTAGTGATTATCATCTGATCATTTCAGTCTTTGTCATAGGCTTAAGTAACCCCATTGACAATGATGACCCGTAAGTGTCCTGAACATCAACTCCTCCTCCTGTATATCTGTATATATCTCTTACTTGGAAAAGGACATTTTAAAATATTGTTTTAGGAAAGGTGGTATCACAAGCACAATACTGATATTTGTAGCTCAGGGTTGAACTGCGTGGTCCTTGCATATACGTTCTGTGAGCTTGGTTGTTGTCTTGCAAACATTTCATTAGTCAACTAAATAACATCATCTGTGTTGATGATGTTTATCTTGTCTGCTAATGACATGTCTGCAAGAAAACAACCAAACTCACAGAACATCAACAACTCTGAAGCACAATATTAGAAGGCACAGCTCTAATATTAAAGAACTGGCTGTTTTCTCAGGCCCTGGGCTAAGGTGGATGAAGCCCTTTGTGGTGTGCTTGTGTATGTTTTTGAGTTGTTGGCAGACTTTGCTCTTTGCTCTTCTTTTTTATTTACCTTCTTTTTTTATTTGACTTTTTAATCTATAATTTTTTTTTAAAAATTGCTACATAGTGATTATAGTGTCAGGCAGCACATATCAAATAAATGTTAAGATAACCTGAAAATCATGAATGGAGAGAAAAACAGAAAAGGGAAAGGGAGTAGATAGAAATATATGCAGATTCTAACAGATTTTACAAATATGAAGCTGTCATATCATAAAGCCTATTCTACATAAATAAATTAGCTTGCTTATAAAAGTATGCTTTGCTATGTAGTTAAAAAGTATGGTTTACACAAACAAAAATGAACCTAAAGTAATATCCTCACTGTTGGTGGTGATTATAGTGATTTACTTCTTTTGACTCTTGATTTTGATTATTTTATAAATTTCACATATCATTTAAAACAAAAATAATTGGACATTTTCGTAAGCTCTTTTTCTCATGTATCCCAAATTTGGGGAGGCAGTTGGAGAAGATTTCCAAAAGGAATAAAAAGCAATTTTTTTTCCTTGATAATTTCCTGGCTTGCATATTTATATCCAAAAGGAAGATGCATTGGTGGTAGATAGCATCATGGGTTGTTCTCCATTTTTGTTGGCACTCATCAAATTCAGTAGAAAGCACTCCTCCACCATTTTTTCCATTTACTTAAGTTTAGTTGTTTTTTCTTGTGTATCCAGATGGTATAAGCCAGGAATGAAGAACCCACACTAACTTGGCTCTGTGGATTTTTAAAAGTTCAACAACACTGGCTAACTTGACCCATTACTTTGTTTACCATCCTTACTGTAGGAAAGCTGCCAGGTTGGGACAAGGCAGAGAGAATTAAGAAGATGCTGGTTCCCCTCTCCCTAGAGAGCTGCTCTTTATTCTTACCTGAATTGTATGCCCCAAGGAACACGGAGAATGCAATTCTCTGCCTGGCATACTGCGCACACGGAAAGTTCCTTGCCTATCCAGTGAATGTGGACGCGCGTTGCGCAGCCGGGTTCGTTCGTGCCAGGATTTTAACTCTTCTGTCACTGCCGCCTTGGAGAGAACCCGTGGACCCACTGGAACAAAGTCCTTCAGGGATGGCGTACGAACTACCCTGCTGTGGGATACAACTGACCTGTGGAATTTAACTGGCACCGTTTCTTCCTTGTAGGCAAAGTGAGCTGAGTTGCCAGAGAGAAAAGATGGCCGACCACGGCAGAGCTCTCTCCCAGCAGTCAGGTGGCTACTGGGCACATGTTCTGTGGCAGGAAAAAAGCCTGGCCCTGAATGCAGGTTCTGAGGACACAGACGGTGGTATTCTGCTTCTTGTCCCTTGCAGACCTGGCTATGGAACAGCTGCATTGGCTCCTCCTTGGACATTATAGATGCCGGCTTCATAAAGGAAATGTCTGGGCTGCTGCTGCCGGCAGATGTTGTGTAAGAGATGCTGGAGACATCTGAACTGCTATCTTCTGAAGCAGAGTGAAAATTGGCTTTCGGAGCAGGGTTGGGGTTTGATGCAGAGAAACAGAACTCAGGGACAGTCACGGTATAGTAGGTGGGGCGTCGCCTGGGTAGTGCACTTCTTCCACGGGATTCCAAACTTTCCCGAGTGGAACATACCCTGTGGGGCCAGAATAAACTAGTTAAGGCTGCAAATGTCAGAAGCAATTGTTTGATTCTGGGAAAAAGTGGGAACATGACACTATCTTCTCAAAACCTTGAGTAGCTTAATACAAACATTCATGATACATGGAGTTCAGAACTTCCATACATTTAATTCTGTCTGCTATGCATTCTACTTATGACTGGCCTTTCCTATCTCATCTCATGCCTAAGCCATAAATGTCCATTTAAACCATGGGTGCCCAAACGTGGCAACTTTAAGACTCATGGACTGCATCTCCCAGAATTCCCCCGCCAGAAGTTGTGGGACTTGAAGTCCACAGGTTTTAAAGTTGCCATGACTGGATACACCTGTTTTAAGGAAATGTTTAAGGGTATATTTCTGACTTTTTTAGTGGATAACTTACTTTTTTATTTTATATACACTGGGCTCCGGACGACCCCTGACCTCCGCACCTTCCGTGCTGACCTAAAGACATGGCTCTTTCAGCAAATTCCCTGATCTGCCGTGCATTTTAATTTGGGGCATTTGGGGTTTTTAAATCGGATTTTAACATTTTAATTCTATTTATTGTTGGGTTGTTTTATGATGTGAGCCACCCCGAGTCCCTCGGGAGAAGGGCAGCATATAAATATGACAATAAATAAATAAATAAATAAATAAATAAATAAATAAATAAATAAATATGGAACTATGAATAGGGTCAAGTAGAAACATATTTATATTCAAAGTTTCACCTTTCTTTCACATCTCTCATTTCAGGACAATATGCCATGTATAGTTCTCTCCATTCCAATCAAAATTTTGCAATTTTAAATCCCCTCCAATGTCCATCTATTTGTTCATTTTATTATTTATTTTGCTTATAATATTTATTCTGTTGGCCTCCTCCTTCTAGCTGACGATATTCGCTAAACACTATTTTCTCATGCAAAGCTACCTTCAGATGCATTAAAGACTAGAAACTTTTTTTAAAATGAAAGCTACGATTCTCAAGGCTCTGTATTTTGGGACATACATAAAGGTCTGCAAGAACTTAATTTATTCTTGCTACAATATACTTTTAAAGTGTCTGCTTGTTGTCAAAATCCACTGTTGGATTAGGCAAGGTAATCATAGAAATCTGACAGCAGAAAAAGACCTAGTGGTCGATTGAGTCTTCCCTTTGAGTTTATTTATTTGTAATTATTATTTTTATATTTTATATTTTAATTTTTGTCAGATGATGGATGTGTTTATCACAAGCAAGTTTAAACTCCATGTTTGAAGCATGTTAAACCATAGGAATACTTCAATATACTGTAGCTAAAGTTTTGTAATATAGTACCTTATCAGCTGAGACTGTCCTCTCCTTCCCGGGAATTCTGGGGTTGGAGGAGCACTGGAACCAGCCTGTCTTCTTACTTCCAGCTTCCTAGGAGGATCTAAGTGACACAGATGTGTCTCAACTGCCCTGTGAATGGAAGGGCTGAGTGCTGGTGGGGACATTATGCTTGCTGTGCTATAACAGAACACAATGAGATAAAAAGTAAGAAACAGTTTTTCTGTCTACTTTCCAGTTATCATTATTTTTCTACAAGCAAACCAAGGGCCACTGGTTACAGCCCATAAAAGTACTGTAGTTCTTTCCCATTATTTCTGAAACAGAATAGAAGCAAAAGAAAAGACTGAAGACTCAAGGATGTCAATAAAACAACTGTTCAGGTTTAGCTAACTCTGATAGTCTGGGTCAATGCTCTTCAAACAGCATTTTGATCCCAAATATAGTCATAAGTCAAGGACTACTTATATACATGGGGTTGCCTTTTGGCAGAGACGAGGTGCTTCCATCAGTACCAGGCCAGAACAGAATACTCACTGGATTTCCATACATATTACACCAGTGCTGCTAGTCCACCATCCAGCTAGATTCAAGGTGCTAGTATGAGTATAGATAGCTCCAAGTTCGTTGGGACCAGATTACCCAAAATAAGGTTTCAAATGCATTACCTTTTCAGGCATCTACAATTTTGAGGGAAGACAGGAATTTGCTGTCTGAAATTGACATTGAAGAGGGCAGTATCCATGGTGGCACCTATTTGTGGAACAATCTCTTCCCTGCAATATGCCAAATCATGCTGGCATCTTTTAATTGTCTTTTTCAAAATTATAATTTTAAATTGCCATTATCCGGCCATTAACTTCCCTAATATTTTGTCTTGTAATGGATTTTTGTAATGAATTTGTCTTGTAATTAAAGATGGACACTAAAAAGACAGGATACAACCAGTAAATCCTGTAGATGATGTCTCCAATTTTCCATCTACCTGAACTGCAGGAGCAGGGAAAAAGAGTTTCAGGAAATGCTCTTAATATAGCATCTCCACAAAATATGAATTGGTTCTTTTTTTTTAATCAGAGTGCTGTACTAAAATCAGAGTGTTAAAATGAACCACAACTTTCCGTAAATCCATTTCCTACTGCAAATCAAAATAATCTAACTACCAATTTACTATGCTAATTCATAATTTCATCTGTTTGCAAGTATCACAAGTAAGTGATACTTGCAAAAAATAGTCATCATTAAACATTTGATGTCTATCACTGTTATCAGTGATTATTAGTCATGGTAAAATATTATGAATGATACACCCAGGATACAAAATATTCTGATGACACTTTTCTTATCTTTTCTTATAAAGGATGCAACAAGGTAGATTAGTGCAATTTTAATATAGTGGGGAAAGAAGGTTAATGTTAAGAATCAATGAATAAATTGAGATTTGAACCAGAAAGTTTAATTCAACCTGCCTGTCTTCAACAGTTGCAAGTATACTTTGCAAGTTATTGTATTGCTTTTCTATAAATTATGATTTGCACGAATTCACCTCAGCTCTTTGAAGTCAAATGGAGACAACTTAACAAAGAGAAAAGCACAGTAGAAACATCTAGTGAAGAAGTTTAACCTCAGCGTGCTGTTGGACCCCATCGACTTCTTGGGCTTCTCATAGGGCTTGTCCAAACTAGTTTCTTTCCAAGGGCTATTCTGGATGGGAGAAGACTCCACTTCAGCAGCTGGATAATGAGTTGAATCTTCTAGAAAGCCAAGAGGGGAAAGCTGCGATGAAGGACTGTGGTGAGACTGGATTTGTGTCCAAGGTGTAATTTTTGTTGGAAGGTGAGGATTCACCACAGGGGCTTCTTTAAAAAGAAAGGATGATAGCTTGTCACTACAAACTTGAATGTCCTTTAAACATCCACTAAACTACCTTATACATCTGCACTCTCTTACCAGCCCTTAATCAAAACAAAGGGGGACATTAAATTTAGCACACTTGGACCATTTCACTAATCCATAATAAACATCCTTCCTTGCCTTCAAGCTTAGTAAACTGTTGCAGGCAAATTTTTAGTCACATGGTCTGGATATGATTCTGAGAGTTGTGATTAAATAGCTAATCTCTTTAGCTGAATATGATGTCATTAAATAAAAACAACAGCAGCAGAATATTTAAATAAATATTTTAAAAATGACTAAAATAGCTGTCTGAATGTTTACATACTAAGCCTCTGCCAGGGAAAACTATTCTTAAAACCCCTGGGAATCATAACTCCAGCATGAAAAAAATATTATTTAAAAAACGGCAACTTCACCATCCCCAGAGTGAAAAAGATTGCTGTGCGTGCGTGTGCGTGTGTGTGTGTGTGTATATATGTTTGTATGTGTATGATGAGCTACAACAACAGCCTTCCCTCTGAACAACTATTTGACTGGGCAAAAAAGTATATTTATGTAAAATACAGTAATGAAGCATAGGTATGAATGTTATTACATTACCATGCAAAAATGATGTAACAAAATGTGTTTAAAGATACCAAAGTACAGAAAATCAATAGAGAGAAACTGCATTTTCAAGGCTATTCTATCATAAAAAAAACAGAATGTCCTAAGACAGTGATGGCTAACCTTTTTGCTGTCGTGTGCCAAAAGCGGGGGGAGTGCGGGGGTGTCGCACCCATGCATGCCCACACCCATAATTCAGTGTGCCCCACCCCCCCTGCATGTGCACGCGAAACCCCTGCGCTCCCCCCACTTTTGGCATGCGATGGCACGGTAGGCCCGTTTTTCGCCCTTCCCAGGCTCCAGAGGCTTTCTTGGAGCCTGGGGAGGGCAAAAACAGCCTTCCCTATGCCCCCCGGATATCCCCTATCCCCTCCGGAGGCCAGAAATGGCCCATTTGCTGACTTCCGGTGGGCCCAGAAGGCCCAAAAATCAGCTGGCCGGCACGCACATGCATGCCGGAGCTGAGCTAGGGCAACACTCGTGCGCCCACCGATATGGCTCTGCGTGTCATCTATGGCACGCGTGCCATAGGTTCACCATCACGGCCTAAGACCATTTTCAGGTCTGCACGCAACAGGAGAACATCCCAAGTAAAGCCAATAGAGTCATACTTAATTAACTTACCTTCTCCTCTCACAGTCACATCCAACAAGGAAGGTTCATCAGGGGCACTGAACCCTTAAGAAGAAATGGGGAAAGGCACTGTAAATGGGATCTGCAAAGCCATTTGCTTTTCAGGATTCTAGATATTGGATTTCATTCATTCTTTCCACTTATTTGCCATGTCCCCGGCCCGGCCAGCATTCTGTGATCACTGAGCATAAACACCCTCACTGCGTAATTAAAAGTGAAAAGTTGAGAAGTTCGGGGGAGGGGGGGGTTGTTCTTCCTAAAGATTCTATCAATTTCAGCAGTGCTTTTTGAGTTACTTATGTCATCAGAGAAAACATCAAAAATCAGGCCTCCTTTGAGCTATAGATTTCCAAGCAGCTATTAGAATTTCTGACACTCACTAGAAATATGCAGTCATAAATCCCACGAAGAACCACAGAAGGGACAACAAAAGCTTTTATCTTATTAGTACTGGGCTAACTCCAATAACCCAAACCACATCATTCAAGGCAAAGCATTCATGTACACAAACCTACCCTTCTCAAAGAAACAGTCCATGATAAAGCGAATTAATACTAATCTAAAGGATTTGCATTTGCATTTCAGGCAGCATTTTTTCCCTACAGTCAAAATATCAAATTGTGAATTAATAGCTCAAAATTCTTTTACTCTTTAGATGTAGTGCAGATGAGACATGAGGGCAATTCAGAGAGAAATGCCCTTAAGCTGATTCATTTCAAAGAGCTTACATAGGGTTCACTCTGAAACAACAGGTAGATATTAATAACCACTAGTTTCCTTTTATGGTCCAACCAAGGTGGACTCTGAGATGGGGGAGGAGAGATGATCTCATTCAGTCAATAAGACCTCCTGCACAATCTATGCAAACTATTGTCCTTCCATTCAACAAAGAGTCTCTTTGTGTATAGGTTCATACCCGATCAACTCTAGATACGGCTGGGAAAGACCCCTGTTAGAAACCTGAGAAGCAGTTGCATAGACAGTACTCAATGGTCTAGTTTAAAATAAGCTGCCTTTTTTTATTCCAGATACCACAAACAAATAGTACAAGATATAAAAGAAAACACTAAATTCTCATCTGCAAATATTTACCATATGGAATACTTGGGCAAAAAGCAATGAAGTGGTATATAAGAAGCCATCCAGTTACCCCAATGAATGCAAATATAGTTTCAATACAGCTATTTTCATAGTAGAGTATCTGAACTAGTATAATACTAAAGCCAACTACTAGGAAGAATGAGCAAAGATTGAGTCTAATACTGAAGTCCAAAATACATTTATTCTTTATGCAAGTAAGTCTGAGTTCAGTACAGCTTACTTCTCATTTCACAAGATTGCATTTTTGTTTGCAAAAATAACAGAATAACAGAGTTGGAAGGGACATTGGAGGTCTTCTCGTCCAACCCCCTATATCCTATATCATTTCAGACAAATGGCTTGTCCAATCTCTTCTTGAAAACCTCCAGTGATGGACTGTTCCACTGATTAATTGTTCTCACTGTCAAGCAAGTGACAGAGACCAAAGAAGAATCTAAATGAACCTTCTACCAGACAGGGCCTTGCAGTATGTTTCCACTAGAGTTTTCAGAATTCCTAGGGAGTATTCCTTGGGAAGCTAAGTTAGGTGACTGACTTTTTAAGGGTTAAATATGATGCCACGGAGCTTTGCGTCAATCATTCACAGCAAGCTTCTACATGTTTCCTCCTCCAGCTGCCTCTCCCTGCTTTTTTTTTTTTTTCCTTGAGTTCTCTTTGGCAACCACTTACAGAAAATTTCCCTTGGTAGCTTATCACAGCAGGAAGAAGCCATAAAAGGTCAGCTTCCTGCTTTGAACTGGGATGAATTCCACCCAAGCCCTGCCTGTCAAAAGTTCATTTAACCTGTTTCTTATGATTTACAGGGACATGTACTTAATCCTAACCTCTGTCTCATTTCCTGACAACCTTTCTAATTTCAAAACCCACTTCCTCATAATAACAAAGAGCCTTGTGGCAGCCTAAAGAGAAACAAATCTATTTTAACAAAAACTATTAGTCCTTAAGGTTTTGTGAGATTTGTTGTGTCTGCCTCTACCCTCCTGGTTTTTAGGTCTTCAGTCAAAAGGGGTTTTAATTTTATTCTCTGTAGTGGCTATATAGAATAAACCAATTAGCCTGCCCTTGATAGAATTTATTATTATTACCATCACCTCTTTAAGTTTTCAGGCCTTTTTTTTCTTCTTTTTGGTATCAGGCTTCCTCCCCAAAATATGTACTTAGAAGCTTTGCTTTCCAAGCCATCTAAGAGGTATTTTAAAGTCATTCAGTGCAGCATTTGTATAAATTACAGAAGGGTGGCCCACCTGTACGCTGCCCCTAATGATCCGTAGGAAAAATGATGCAAAATGAGCACAGCTCTAACACATCATGGCCAGGGCTGGATTTGATGGTGGGGTTACTGTTGTTGTTTTACTTCCTTGAGGACTGTGCTAAGTTTATGCTTGGCTTTTACATACTTCATGCTTCAAGATAGCAGGAAATAAAAATTCAGTGGTGTGGCTGGAGGAGGCAGCAGGAGTTACAAAAATGAATTTCAGAGACTGTACTGAATTAGATAACCATGCTCCAAATCAGGGGTGAAATGTAAAATTTGTTACTACCGGTTCTGTGGACATGGCTTGGTGGGTGGGTGGGGTAATGTGACTGGGTGGGCGTGGCCAACTTTTTTTTTTTTTTAACTTTTCAAAGCATTTTTTCTAATACTTTGAAAAGCCTCTGCGGATCAGGCAACTCAGCTGGGATCGTCAGAGACTTTTCAAAGCATTTTTTTTACCACCTCTTCGGCCAAGAAGAGGTTGCAGAAAAAAATGCTTTGAAAAGCCTCTGACGATCCCAGCTGAGTCCTGTGATCATCAGAGGCTTTTTTTTTTACTTTTAAAAGCATTTTTTCGTCTGAAGAGGTTATAGAAAAAATGCTTTTAAAAGTAAAAAAAAAAAAAAAGCCTCCGAGGATTGTGCGGCTCAGCTGGGCATGGTGGGGGTGGGGGGGCTGCAGGGATTTTTGCTACCGGTTCTCCGAACCACCTGCCGCCATCGCTACCGGATCAGGTGATCTGGTCCGAACCAAGAGCATTTCACCCCTGCTCCAGATTGATTCCACTTACCTTCTAATAAAGCTGGAGCAATGGTCTTTAGCTGGGACGGCTGTTTGGATGCCAGGCGATAGTCACTGAGCGCTTGCTCCAGCTCCTTCAGTTTCTTTTCCTCTTTCAAAACAGCACTTTTCCGCCGTTTTCGAACCTGCTTGGCAAGATTTTCTTCTTTGGAAAGACACCGAGCAGCTTCAGCAATCTGCAGCTGCAGAGCCAGATCTCTCTCTAATGTGCTCAGCGGATCCTGGAGAAAAAAAAGAGGGAAAGTATATTCCAAAAACCTGCCTTTCCTGAGCGGTCTTTAGCAAGGGGTGGTGTGACTGGCCTTTTAAAGAGAATGGAAGGGGGATCTAAAGCGTCAGAACTTAGAGTCACTCCTTGAAGAAGTCAGCAGAGGTCTGACATCATCACCCCATTCTCTGCTCCGAAGACTCCTTTTGTGGACATCTTGGTAATTAAATATGATACATCTTTTTTACCTAGTTATGTTTCAAATGCTTTCTAGCAATACACTTAGTCATTGTAACCTGATCTGGGGGTTTCCAAAGAAGCAAATGCCAGCCATGTTTTGTAAGGCTAGTGCAATCCATGTGAATTAGGGTTGACACTGGTCATGCAAGGAAATCTTTGCTGCGTAAGAGAAATAGCATTTTTTTTGGTTTGTTTGTTTGTTTCAATGATTATTTCTGGCTGGATGCTTTTGTCTGGAATGGGAAAAACAGATAAAAAGAAGAAAAGGAGGGATCAATGTTTTTAACAACTTTCAAATGAGCATGTTCAGCGTACTACCTTTGAAATTCTGGGAGTTGAAGTCCACACATCCGAAAATTGCCAGTGTTGAGAAACACTGTTTTAAAGCATAGTCAGTGTGAAATTCAAATTTTTTTACTACCAGTTCTGTGGGCGTGGCTTGGTGGGCGTGGTGTGGTTTGGTGGGCGTGGCAGGGGAAGGATACTGCAAAATCCCCATTCCAACCCCACTCTGGGACCAGCCAGAGGTGGTAGTTGCCAGTTCTCCAAACTATTCAAAATTTCTGCTACCGCTTCTCCAGAACCTGTCAGAACCTGCTGGATTTCATCCCTGAGCATAGTGTATTGTTCCACCAAAAAAAAAAAAAAGTATCTGGCACAAAAGGATTGTTTGTTTGATTTGCTCAGTGAATGACTGATGTTCCAGACAACGTGTCATACAAATCTGTGGAACATAAGTAATAACAATCCAAATGGCTCACAAACTAATAAAAGAACTGCCACTTATATCCCTGTTGGATCTGCTAGGCAAATATGGTCTGTTGAAAAACAGTATCTTCCCTATCCTGAGTTGTAGAAGAGATTCCAGAGTTCCCTTGCACATACCGTATGACTGTGTGCACATAAGAGCATACACATACATGTGTATACGTACATATATAGTGAGCATTCTAGTATGAGAAAAGCTACAGATTGATGAAGACAACAAAATGAAGTTCCTTCAGGCATAGGAGTGCATAAAGAAAGGCAATTAATTGGATTTAGGCTGCAGATAAGTTAATTCTTCTGGAAATAACATCTCCTTTCATGGTCCAACTATGGCCTCAGGACTTATTGCCCTTGAAAGTTTTTCATGATTCATATAATTATGCTGAGACTTAGTGTGCAAAATATATTATGTCTCAAATCCATTTTCCTAATAGTTCTTTTTTTATGTATATTGAACATTCAATAAACAAGGAGAAATAAGCAGGGCAAGGTCATGCTTATCATAAAATACAAGCAAAGGTGTATATTATGTTTCTAGAGTTATGGGAAAAGATGGGCCAAGATAATATTGCACAAGGCACCAGTACTTCCCTCACTAAATATAATTCTTCTGTCACATTTGCAGCTAGAATAATTAAACAGCAATCACAAAGAATGTTTTTCAGTTCTTTCAAGGCATGCTTATAAGCAGTGTAGGGATGCTAATCCAATTTAAAGATTTAGGTGGTGATTATTTTGGATTTAAGTAATCTGCAGTTAAAAGGGTGTGCTCTTTTGTATATTCTACTGGACTGATGTCTAAGGCAAAATTCCCAGCTGCCTGCTGAACCTAGCAAACCGGATGAGAAAAAACTATCTACAGACTAAGCAGATATCTTCTGTTTCCAGTACAACAGGTTCCTAATAGTTGAGGAGGAAACACAAAGTCGTAAGCAATATTTCAGTGAGCTTGGAGGTTAAGGGGAAAAACAAAACCTTCCCAAGATTAGAATAGCGTGTGAATGTACATAAGCATGCCTATAAGCCTGTGTGCGTGAGACAAAGAGAAGCAATGGGCTTCCAAAAGAGCACGTTTATTTAGCACCAAACTCTTTGCCTCCCATTGAGGCAAATGAGAGAACAAACAGCACACCACATGCCGCCCTTACTATGAGATTAGTAAAACTGAGAACAGGACACAGGCAGGAGAGAGACTATTTGCAAAAGAAATGCTGCATCTCACATCTCTGATTGGAAGGAAACCCGAGGCTTCCATGTCCCTTTGGGATGATTTATCTACCTTCACTTCCTACTGAAAATCACTTTCAGACGCTTTTTCTTTAACTGGGAATCTCCAACTTGTAAAGATCTAGAGAGAAAACGGTTTTCTGGATTAGCGGAACCAGATTTCAAAGGGAGACTGAGCTTTATGTATAAAACAAACCATGCTTCTATAAAAGTCAACTTCCTGGGGTTTGTGTGTGTGTGTGTGTGTGTGTGTGTGTACGCTACTAGAATGTTTCCTTCCTGCCTTCCTTACAGGATTAGCCCTGTAAAGTGGAAAAAACCCAAAATAAGATTTCTTTTAACAACCAGTTCTCCGAACTGCTTAGAAAGTTAACAACCGGTTCTCCCGAATAGGTGCGAACTGGCTGAATCCCACCACTGGCTTCAGGGTAGAAGGATCCCAACACTGCCAGTCAAAAGCCAATATATAGCATTTCCAAGTTTCCTGCTCCAGTAAAAGGAGCAGGGAAGTAAAAAAGACAGGAATAACTTCAGATTCCAAATGAAAGATACCCAGCAGCATTTTGTGTAGCAAGGCTGGATAGTTTCATAATTAAAGCCCTTTCTGGTGTTGTTTCTAGCCTAATTTTTATTGCCCTGCTTACAGAAACTGCCTCTCTGGTTAACCCTTATGACATTGTAACAGCTAAGGCGAATCGCCCATCGACATGAGTGATGTTGAGTTGGCCATGCCCACATGGTCACATGACCACCTAGCCATGCATACCCAGCTGGTCATTAGGAAAGAGAACTGGTTTTTAAATTATTTGAATCCCACCATTGCCTGAAGCATCTAACTCTATGAAAAAAACAACAGGTACAAAATGATCAAGGTGTATAAACCAGCTAACTAGGCGGAAGAAATATCTTTTCTCAGCCTCAGTGCTTCTCGAAGAATGTTCTGTGGCTTTATGGCTGAACCTATATAAATGTTTACATTTCAGAACACTGGCCCAATCTTTGCCTTATAAAGATTAAGAGAGAACAAGGAGTCCTTACTGAGCAGGTTAAGATAATAGAGATGCCAGATTTGTACTCAGCCAAGATCACCAGCATTGCAAAGCTGCTCTTCTTCCAACCCTGTTCCAAAAAGCCTTAGCAGCAGAAGTTCCCATGACTACTGCTATTAACTACTGGAGCAAGCAAAATTAGATGCTGATCTGGTAATCCTACTTTGGAGGTCAGAATATCAAACAGGGATTCCCAGAACCTCTTTCCTAATCAAACTGTGTCCATGACTGAACTGCAATTTAATTGTTTTTGCTTCCCTCCTTGGAGGTGGGGGGAAGTAGAACCTCCTGGATAACTCAAATGTCTGTGCTCATCCACATTCTCTAACACCCCCCCCCCCCAATTGTGAGCAAGATGTCTTACTGCTCCTGAAAGAATAGCCTTTTGGTCCAATTTGAAAGCAGCACCAATTCGACGGCGGACCTTCGGGGGTTTCTCTCCTGGCTTCAGGGGATACTCTGAAGACAGCATTCCTGTCAATTCCTGCCAAAAAAAGAAATGTAGAAGCAGTGTCAGTCAAGGAGATATTAATGTTAGGCAATGTAAAGCAGCTGAACTGAGTATCATGAAAGAGCAGCATATTTGTTATTAATTGATTTATTAATATATTTCTCCTGCCAGATAGGAGGGGAGATATTTATGTGATTTTTTTCTGCTTCTGCTGCCATAATGATTGAATAGGCCTTAGGCATTGCATACCTTGACCTGGAAATGGGATGCTATTTGCTCTGCTGCCTGAAGTAGCAATTTAACCAAGATTGCTGCTGGAGCTGATTGCCAAAGGGGCACAGGCAATATCTAATCTATTTATTTAGCACAGCACTACAGTATATTTTATTTAACTTTTTTAAATTTGCATTTAGTCCCGGGCCTGAAAATGAGCTTCACTACAAATGCACAACACACACACACACACACACACACACACACACAATCAATAAAAGGAGACAAATAAGTTCACATTAATTTTAATAGGCATAGTGTGCAATTAGCTTTTGGCTTTTTTCTTATTTTCTAAATAGCCTTCAGTTAATTTCAGGCAGAGAGAATGACCAAAAATTGATGCTAAGGAAAATATCCAAGATTGAATTCATTGCAAGCTAATTTCTAAACTGATTATTTTTAAGAGGCTTTTTATAAGTTGGTGATCAGTCAAAGAGAAACAGGAAGACAGTCGATGAACTGATCCAAGGGAACAACTTGATTCTAGAGACAATAGAATATTCAGGAGGAGACTCCCAATAGGGAACCAATTGGAGACAAGTTTAATATTAACCTAGTAACTTTTTTGTAGTTGTGCTTATACATTGTTATAGAAGAGAACAATGGCTTGATGGGTCTGATTTTATTTGGTAGAAATTGCCCTACATTCACATATCAACTAAATACTGCACTCTATGGCAAAGAGGAAAAAAACTTCATCAGGTTTATTAAGGAACTTGAAGGGAGTCTCTTAATTGTAGTTTTAATTAAAAGACCTGACTTGCTTTACCAAGCTATTTCTTAAATGATGCATGAGCTTTTTCTATCACAGACCAAGTGTTCGTGAGATCCATTTTACACTTTCACTATCCTCACACTTAGCCTAGGTATCACTTGATCTCTATAGAAAGCCCTTCTCATTTCCTTGGACAGTGGAATCCCAATCCTTCCAGACATGCATTTTTCCCTGTAGGAATGCAGCTTTACAAATCCCTAATAAGGTTAACAATTCTACAATTCTCTCGGCTCCTTACTGCTTCGCGCAAACACAATCTTCGTAGTTCCTGTAAACAGGCTTCCAGGCGTTCCTCAAGGGCCTTTTGCTGCTTCCTCATGGCTTGTGTCAAATCCTTCATTGCAGCCATGGGGCTATCAGGACCTGAAAGAATAATTTTTTTTAAAAAAGTACAGATTGATTTGTCAGCCAATAGAGAAAAGAAAACTTGATGGGGTAGATTTTGTTAATATTTGATCAGTCAGACAGAGATGGTCTTTGGCAGCTTCTTTGAGCACAGGCAAGGATTGTAAAGGAATCTTCAAAGACCAATAATACTGTTATCACAAAACTGTGTTTAACTTCAAAAGAGCTCTTCTGAAGCTCATTGGATGAGGCATGGAATGTGTCCAACAGCAAGGACTGAGTAGCTCCACTTCATAGACAATAGGCAGGTCTAATTTGTTACAGAAAAGATAAAGACAAGGCCTAAGGCCAATGTCCCTTATTGATCTGCCCATGGACTGGGAAAGAAATGCCAGGCATTGATTTGGGCTTTAAAAAATCAATGCCTGGCATTTCTTTCCCAGTCCATGGGCAGATCAATAAATACCTTTATTTTTCTTTGCTAATAACACTCTTAAGAGGATTCTACACAAGATTTCTTCCTATGGGATCAGAGGTGCTTGGTCAGCTTTATGACTCCTTTCAAGCATATGATATCAGCCCATACAGGTTTGAATCCAACAGGGCACTGACAATCAGTTCCATATACATGATTCATAATGTAGGGCAGGGCAAGATTCTGTCAGCAGGCTCTAAATTTGGTGGCACTGAAGAAAGAGCAGTCTTCAGATGTGCAAACTGTATAGGGTGATAAACTCCTGGGACCCAAAGGAATTTGCTGAGGAAGCAGAGGCTGGATGATGAATTCCCTAATTTATTTACTTCAAAATCAATTTTCCAAGTGCCCATGGAACTAGCTTTTCTTTCTTTCCAAACTAAGAAATCCAGCTAGGGGTGCCACAACTGAGCTTTTTGTAGTCCCAAGAGTTTCCAGAGTAAAGAAAATACTTTTTCATTATGCTTGTACTTCTTAATGCTGCTTTTATCCAAGAGGCTAAAAGGATAATCCAGGTTTGCACCCTGACCAGACCACAACAGAACATGTCTTGTTGGCAATTAGACTACATCATCATTGGAATAATCCACATCAGCTCTTTCTTAGCATTTCCTTGGGATATTAAGGATGCTATGATAATTTGCGAGAGTAACCAACCATCCTGAGAAAAAGAAGAATCAGTGGGCCTGACTCTCTCTCTCTCTCTAAATTCTTATTGTCAGGGATCCAAGTAACATAGTTCTGCAGTCAGAAGATGATATTAACCTGAATCTGACACTTACACGTATTCTTGCCTGTATGAAGAAAGGCTCTAAACCAGAGTCACATCAAAGGCTGGGCTTATGAATCTTGCCAGGTTGTAAAATAGCCTGCTTTGTTTTGACTTAGTGAAATATGTACACTCAGCTCCTGTAATTTATTCAATAAACTGTGATTAAAATAAATTATGAATCAGCACACAGCACTGGACATGTACCACTTTCCTATACAAGGAAGCATTTAACTGTATATGCATTACCTTAGCTGATTTGTGGCTAGATTATTATTATTATTATTTTGCTACAAAAGTATGTGGCACAGCGCTTTTTAGCAATTCAACAATTTTTAAAGTTTAGAAATAACTAAAGACATACAAGGCATCAGACAACAGTCATGCAAAAAGAATGCCACATATTTCATGCTTAGGTTTCTAATGAAATAGCTTCTCAAGAGTCTGCTTACTCAGAAAAAGAAAGGATTAATTCTTCAATATAACAGCCTGTATTTCAGGGCAACTAAAAAGCTTTGCAATGGGTAATATGTTATACTGAAAGATGAGTGGCAAGCATCAGGCCAAAGAGAAGACTCCACCCTGCCCTATCATTCCTCAAATCTGATACAACTGTTGTTGTCACCAGCTCCTGGCTCTAGTTCCTGTCCAAGATCAATTCCTATTTTGCAAGACTGCCCTTGTAAAGACTAAATCTTGCACAAGATCATAACCCATCTGAGATAAAGCCACACTGATAAACTCTGACTGTTGAGCCAGCCATGACTAACAAGGTGTGGGATTCTGTGTACAGCTGTATTTTGTGTCAATTGCAGCAAATGACTGTTAGCAACAGCAATACAGTCAAGCCTAAACCACCGAAGAAAGACCCCAGCGGAGTATATATTGTTGCTTTAACTTGTTGACACAAGAAAGCATCCAAGAGATGTCTGCATTTTTCCCAGAAGAAACTTCCCCATTAGTCACTTACCGGACTGGATTATGATGCCACTGTCTGTATCGCTGGTCTCATCTTTATTCTTACTCTTCATGGTCAAACTCAGGATGTGGAGAGAGACAGTATGATCACGCCTGGAAAATGCTGTAACGTCTTCTGCTAATAGAAAAAAGGCACGACTGAGGTATGCTTGATACAAACACAAAGTAAGCAAGAACAATGCTAAAAGAAAGGGCTGGATGGGGGCCTTCCACTGACTGCAGAACCTGCTGTCAGAACTTGGTTATCTAAAGGCCTATATCCAGTGGGGGATTCAAGTAATTTAACAATCGGTTCTCTGCCCTAATGGTTTCTTCCAACAACCAGTTTGCCAAACTGCTCAGAAAGTTAACAACCAATTCTCCTGAAGTGGTGCGAACCAGCTGAATCCCACCACTGCCTATATCTTGCAAAGGTTCTACTTAGGGCTCCAATGTGGACCAGACCGACATAGCCAAGACCAATAGATAAATATTTAACATCTGGCTCCATTGCCGCTGCCATACTGTACCACTAGACGCCAACAGCTCATTGCACACTAGGCGTCAGGGCTAAACTCTGCCTTCAATTGGCTCACAAAGTTTCCCAAAAAATCAACAGTTGACTCTCATAAGCCAATATGAGTCAGCTTCAGCATACTACTGCCCAAGTCTCACATTTCATTCCTGCTTCCTGACAGTTAGAACAATTAATCAGTGGAACGACTTGCCTCCAGAAATTATAAATGCTCCAACACTGGAGATTTTTAAGAAGAGACTGGACAACAATTTGTCTGACATGGTATAGGGTTTCCTGCCTGAGCAGGGAGTTGGACTAGAAGACCTCCAAGGACCCCTCCAACTGTTATTCTATTCTATTCCCACCTTCCAAATTTTCTATTCAGTCAGGAGAAAACATTTGACTGTGACAATGTCTATGGAGATTCTCAATCATCCAGGTTGTGGATGTCTCATAGGTGCATCTCCAAAAGGCAATTGGACTTTCTTGGTTTTCATGAAACATGGTTTCATCAAACATGAACTATATGGATTCTTTTTGCATGAATGTTGTATGTTGCCTTGTGAATTGTGTCTCAGTGCCTGATCTAGCACATAACCTCACAACAAAACAAAATAAAAAGGCTTTTGGACTTCTAATTATTACTGAACTCCAACTCCAACAGGCCATTAGAACTTATTACAATGAATGAGGCTGCTAGCAGTTTATATTTAAAAACAACTGGAGGGCTACAGTCTTAACAGAAGTTGCTTTCTGTAAACCTGTTAAACGTGCAGTATCTAATGAAGGATATGAAAAGGGACAATTTCAGATGTAAATTTAAATATTCCAATTCACATGGAATACAAATTTAAATTATCTTGTCACTAAGGCTGCATAGAACCTTAACTAGAATTAACGGTAATAATTTAGCATTTCATAGTGATACTGTACATACAATAATTCAGTATTATTATCCAAAAAGTGTAGGAAGGAGAAGTGCCTCTAAGTTAGTTCAGAACAGAGTGAGAATCAAATCAGGACACGCTGATATATAACCCAAGTCTCCAGGCCATTAGGTTCCATTCATTGTTAGTAACTAAACCAAATCAGAAAACACATTTCCAGTCTGGAGAAAATTGGGGGGGAAAGACAATGAGAGGGGAAGAGAGAGATAGACAAAGAGAGAAAGAGAGAGGGGGGGGGAGGGGGAGGGAGAGAGAGAGAGGGGAGAAAGAATTCTATCTCCCTTACATGTTATCTCTAATTTTTGATGACACCATGTGCCCAATCGTTTCACTGCTGCTTCCCCCCTCCCCCCAGCAAAAAGTAAATCTATAGAAGCTACGCCATAAGGTTGGCAGGAAGTGCTAAGCAAACAAACTCCAGCATTGGAAGAAGTGACCATGAGACCTCATCACAGATGCCCAGATGGGCCATTCAAAACTGGGGCATTATATGGTAGGGATCACTTTTTATTGCTTTCCCAGCAGCCAGGGTGACTCCAAGTCTTCCTCTTTGCAACTACACTTGTTTGCACAGCACTTCCCCACCCCTACTGGGTGAGTCAATCTGAAAGTCACTCTGAGTTTCTGTCTGGAGCTTATCACAGGACTGCCAGTCTCCTGGGGGGGAGGGGGGGAATAACAGGAGGTGGACAGACAAGGTTCACAGCTGTTACTGAGCTGTATGACCTAAGGTGATGTTGCTTAGACCTGTACAGATTATTGCTCACTCCACTCCAAACTGGCATAGGAGGCTGTGTGGGTGGGAGCCTGTTCCTCTGCCTCTCATAACAAACAATCCCATTCATAAATTGAAATAGGTAACCACACAGTCATAGTGCTGTACACTTCCCTCAGAACAATAGAATTCCCACAATTATAACATATATCAGGCTTTCTGTTTTGGATCAGACGCTAATAACTTTTATATGAGTAAGAGTTAACTCTCCAGCCAGGAAATTAAAGTACAAATTCATAATGCTCCTGCTTTTATGGTCAGTAAATAAAAGAACGGCTCAATGAATGGTACTTTCAAGAGTGCTGGCTTCCTGGATCTGATAACTTGTCACAAGTAAAAATGTCTCAGTTGTTTCCAAATTGCTAGCCCACAATCCATCTACTAGTAGTTCAGTTTTGTCCTATCTGCTGTAGGCTGTAAAACTCCAGTTTGCCCTTTCACCTGATATCTATCTTACAAATTAGCAAGCCCATGGCAAAAGCCATTGTAGCTTTGGAACCTCTTCCCAATGAGAAAATATACAAGTTTAAGTATCAATGTCTCCTTCAAAACTATAGGATATCCCATGTCTGTCTTTCCAGTTTTCAAATATGAAACCCAGACCCACAGCCCTACTTAGTAAAAAGGGTATTTTTGGTTTTTCAGAAAATTCCATATTGCAAGAACTAGATATGTAAGAAAATCCCTTATATCAGACCTTTATCCCAATTGGACAATATTATTAATAATGCAAACTTCTCTATCCCAGTTTGGGCACCCTCTAAAAGTTGTAACTGTAAATTTCTCAGTAATAAATATGATATCTGGGAATTCTGGACATGGAGATCTACAGTTTTGGAGGAAGCCCAAGTTGAAGAGAGATTTTAATGTGCTAGCAACGACTCTCCAGATTTTTGGCCTTTCTGGGGATGCCAAAAACTAAACCAGGGCTTTTTTAAAAGCAAGAGAGACATTCTACCAAATAGAGTGGATGAAAGGCAAACTTGAATGATGGACAAAATGTGGGTCAGATATTAAGAGGCAACATAAATTGCAAGGTCAACAGGAGAGGAACAATCTCAGTACATTTTCTGGGATGGGATGAACAAGCCATGTCATTCTGTGCCTTCAAGGCACATACAGCACATTTTGAAGTGTAACAAAACTAAGAAGCATTTTAGAAAAGACTGAATCTAGAGCCAATTTTAGCTTTTTAGGGGTAAAGATATTAAACGAGATGAAGGCATATTTTTCAATTTGATTATGAAGCTAAGAAATGGGTGCATGTGTGCTTTTTAGCTCTAAGATATACTTGTGCCATACAGCTACAAGCTTTCAATAATTTAAAATAAAAACAAAAGTAGAACCCATACATGCCCAAACATAACAATATAAATCTTCCCATTCAAACTGCAGTTTTAAAATAGCCTTTTTCAAAACAGTGCAAGGCAGAGCTAGGCTACTTCACCATACCGGAGGAAGAAGAATGGTTTCTATCTACCACTTGCCACTCCCCTTCTCTAAAACTGTTGCTTGGTAATAGATATAAAAGATACACACTTTGCCCCGTGTGGCAGGAAAGAAAGAAAAAAAGCTAAATGTTGCTAACTTAATTAATTGAAAATTTTAATAATTAGCTGGGCTTGCTAATCAAAACCACAAATTGCAATAGACCCTCAAAGGCTGCTGTTGGATGATGAATTTTACTTTCTGGTTGAGAAAGCTGTGTTTTTCCACCTTCAAGGAATTGCAACCTGAAGCCACAGGTAGAGAAACAAAACCTGTCTCTACATTAAGATATAGATGCAATTTTGGTAGATCAATGAAAATAACCTAATAACAGAAGATGGTCAGAGCATCCATCCTGGCCAAAAAAAGTCAACCAGCCCACTCTAATCTTCTAAATATGTAATCAAACAAAGACTTCAAATAAATACAACCCTAGGAACTGTACTAAACCCAATCTACTTCTTTTATTTCTGGGTGCCTATATTGTTTGCCATTTATTTACAAAAGTTGTAGCCATACTTGGATTATTTCTCCCTGATAATGTTCATGTTAAAACATATATACAGACACTATATACAAAACAGCAAAATCTGCCTGATTTAAAACATTAAACAACTAGGATTTCACAAAGTCCTTAGGGAAGTTATTCGATTTGATTACAAAATTAAGCAGAGATGCTATGAAGCTTATGTTAAGTACATTTCCACCACCATCCTTCCTTGCTCTCCTGCCCCACTTTTGCCCTGCCTCATTGCCCCACTCTTACTCAAATATTCCTTACCTTCAGTCTATTTTTAGTTCTCCTCCTGTATTTCGTGCAATCTATTCCCTGCTGATTGGCTTTGGTCTAATTGTATAATCATCTCTCATGATTACGGAAGAGGTGGGGAATATGTGCTGTATGATAAGTACTTGAGTCAATTTTAACAAATCTTGTTGGAATTCTGAGATAGATTCAACTTTCATTTTTAACCCTGTTTCTACAAGGCTGTAAACAAAGAGCAACCTCCTCCCAGTTTACCTACGTGATGGTCAAAAGGTGTTCTGCAAGAAACAAATAAAGTATTTCTCGATTACTTCAAATCACGCTGCCCATTTGTTAGTGAAAAGGAAATTTGCTACAGGTAGCCAATCAGAATAAGATAAAGGCTTTCTACATAGAATTACTAGCTTCCCTGGGCAGAGAGCTCAGTTTTTATTTAACTTCTGAGCATAGAGAGTTATAATCCATCCATTAGCCTTAACTATATTCTCAAACTTTCATAAATAGCTAGGATTCAGTGCTCATTGAGATGATAAATTAAAAAAGATATGTTCCATAGATAGATATCAAAACATTACCAATACTGCAAATACAACAGCTGGAGTAACACAGCATAATCAAATTAGTGAAAGTCTTCATGGCTGCATTTGCACAGCAATTTTAGTCCCTCAAAGTACTACACAAATTTACAAATGGGTTAATCATACATATCAATGCATCTATTAGAGGTCTGAAAGATTGTGATGATTTTATTCTGTTTATTTGAATTTATTTAGCTGCCCAATTCCAATGCACTCTGATTATTTATTTATTTTTAAAGCTAGTTGAGATACAGATAGTGAAAACAAAATAGTGGGAAGCAATGCTTAAACTTTTCTCTGTCCCCAGTTTTCTGAAGTAGATCTCCTCCAAGGATTTCCACATTATATTTATAGGGGCCAGCCTTCATAGGGGACTATTTAGGAAGGCTGATCTGGAGTAGAGAAATGATGGGGAGGAAAAGAAATAAATACCTCCTTTCACACTACTTTTCTACTTAAACTGATACCCCTTTGAAATACTTTTTAAAAAATAGGGGGAAGGCTATTAAAGTTCTAATGCCAGCTTTCATATGCAACCATAAATAGTATAGTAAGAATTATTATCTTCACTTACAGTATTCTTAGGCAAACAGAATATGGATATGAATATCAGAATTATGTACATAATCCCATGAAGCATGCCCTCCCACTCATATATACTGTACATGCATCCAACTGGTTTAGTGCATGCCAAAATTTCAGCCAATTAGTTAACAGTTAGTGGTTGTCTGAATCAGCCTTTAAATCCCTGCATTGTATTTCTGCACTTTCGTGGGCTATGACTGTGCAAAAACACCTAATTAATAACCAAGAAATGGAGCCAAATTTCCTGTACATAGATGGAAACCAAACTGCATTAAAAACTATCTTCACTTTATATTTCTAGCCCTCAAGACTGACGAAGCCAAATCTTGCTTCAGGTTGTGTCTCTAGCCATACAGTTCTCTGACTGACTGATTCACATACACTTGGGGGTTTCCAGGCTCAACACTACAGAAAATATGTAAACAAACAGGCAAACAAATCAGGATTAAACAAAAAATTAGATTGTGGACTTTTAATGCCATAAACCACCCTGAGTCCTGTATATGAGTTGAGCAGCCATATAAATTTACTAAATGCATAAATTCCAGGTTGATAGCATCAACCTTATCTGAAGAGTCATTCAGATCAGTTACCTATTGAAAGGTTATAGAAGTGTTCTGTTCAACTACTAAGGAGAAAAATTAGCTCACCTGAGAAGGGGAGCTAATGGGGAGCTAAAATACTGTATTTCCCTCCAAAATTTAAGCACAGTCTTGTGAGGAAAAGCTTGGAGTAGTTTCAAGGAGGCAGCCTGTTCACCATCCATGTATTTCAGGGTTGAAGGAGAACAAAGTATAACCTAAAACTAAGCAAAAGAACTTGTGGTGGCAAACAGAACAGAAATTTAACAGTGCAAGATATCTAGACTGGACAGTAGGGAGAAATTCTAAGTAAAAATTTTAGACAAGTTTTTTTGAGAAAATAAACAAAATACATATAAAATAATCTGTAATCATAATGTGGAAGTGATTTTGAGAACATCACAAAACTGGCCAATAGAACACAGAAATAGAAATACTAGGTGGGAAAAAAAAATCTCTAAATACAAGTTCAAACAGATGGCCCACCTGCTACTATGCCCAAAAAACAATATTTCTGGGAGGTGGGTGGGGTAAGAATCCTGTTTCAAAAAATGTGCCCGTCTCTTCCTCATCTCTTCCCTTCCCTACTCCCCCACCAGATTAGCAACTGCATATTTATTGCACAATAATTAAATAATCATCTGGAAGTGTCCTCTGGGCACCAGATCCCAGACTGTGACTCAGTGCCCCACTCTTACCCCACCAAACTCAATGGATATTTGAACACCCCCTCCAAGCAGTTCTAAAAAAAGAGTGTGCTGAGTGAGCTCCTTTCTTTTGTCAGCTAACCACCAAAGTCAAAACAGGGCTGCCTACTGGTTGAATTATTTTTTTAATTAACTGTCCTACTTTAATTGACTAATTGAACAATTAAGAGATTAAAATCTTGCAATTATTATCCCAGATTTCCCCCAGCAGCCTCCCAGCTCTCTCACACCCTGTGAAGCTTGGTCATCTGTTTCTGCTTCATGAAACAAAGGGTGTACACCCTGGAAGCTCCTTCAATGTTATGTTCTCCCAACAAATAACTTCCCATGGTATTCTGTGTTTAACATAGAGTAATAGTATTAATAGGACGCATATGTAGGACGAAAAAGTGTATTTGGCTGGGAGAATATAAACTTTGATATAACCAGGGCAATGCACAAATCTTTCTGAAATTACCTGTGGAAATTCATGTCCTAACAAATATAGTTTGCACTGCTTTTGAACTAGGATCGGGTGGTCACATTTTTTGCTATGGAAACCAAATGGATGGTGATAGCAACAAGGTCCCTCCCTGTAGCTGGATAAACCCTCCTATTATCTTAATGATGTCTTGCTGATTCCCCTTTCTTCCTTTGAAGGCAGAGTACCCATCCTTCAAGTTCCACAATTACAACTCCCATAATTAAAGTAAAACCCTATTTCCAACTTGCCCTGTTCTATAATGCAGGGTGACCGGTCAGGTCTCACTGCATGATATGGCACTAACGTGGTACAGGCAATCCCTAGGATAAGAACATCTGGCTTATGGGCAGCTTGTATTTTTGAACCAGATTGTCATAAAGCCTACCCTATCAAGCATTTGAGTTAAATACGATGGCTTATAATGACAAACACACACTACTTTGTGATGCTCATGAAAACACTGCACAGTGTCAGTGGTTCTTCGGCTGGAGGAAGGATTTTTGCCAGATTAAGTCAGAACACACTGTCGTTAACACAGCATTGAGTATGCAACTTCATATTTGGCTTACATTTTTCTCTTATTTACCCTGGTAACCATGCCTCCAAGGGGTAAATCCAATGCAAGCACTGACGATGCATCAGAGAAAAGGAAAACTAATCATGATTGAAAATAAAGTGAAAATAATAAAGTAATCAAAAAGATGTGAAACACCATACCATTGGAAAAGTATTAGGCTATGGTGGGTCAACAGTTGGAACAAATTTAAAGGATAAAGTGAGAATAATAGAGCATCTGAAACTATAATTTATAACATACTTATGAAAACTATAATATATAATATCTACTAAGACAAATATTTGATTAATGCTAAATAACAATTCTGACCTACCTACAAATTTGATTTAAAGACAGACTTAGGAACCAGTCTGTCACAACCTGGGGACTGGATGCAGCCACAGCTAGTAAGCCAGTATAGAGGAATCAGAAAGCACCACTAAAACATGACCAAGGAACAGGGAGACTTTATTTCTTCACTGGCAGAAGTCACAAATTAGCTTAAAAAAAATATGGAGGTTGCTGAGTTAGCCATATGCAGGTGCCAAACATCATTACAGAACTTAGATAACGCAGCCCAAGTCTATGATGAGGAAAGCTAGCTAGTCAGAAGCTGCATGATGAACAGTACAGACTTATCAATTCCAATACCTGTGCTATGTCATGTCCTATTGATAAGGTCATCAGAGGTCCCTGATCTTTGTTTGCCACTCAGCAATGCAGACTCAATTCCCAATATACTTCTTAATCACTGTGGCTGGCTGTATAAAGGCAAAGATTCTTGTTCATCTTGCTACATCCAAGCAATTCTGCCTAGAATGTTCCCTCTGATCCAAAAACCCGAGATATTTGCATTAAATATAAAAAGCAATTTTGAATTTTCTTTTTTCTCTCTTGGTTCCATTGAGATGTTTGTCCATCTCATAGCCTTCTCTTTTTGTCCTGTCCTCCAGACGCTGAAAATGAATTGAAGGAACTACAGAATACCTTTCTGGATCTAGAGTCCACGTTATTTGTTACAGATTCGCCAAGAAAAAGTAAGTTGTGTAAAAAATTACAAGTAACTTACACAATTAAATACAAAAACACGGCTGTTGAAGCTGTCACTGATCAGAGCAAAAAGACTTGTGAAGCTTACATAGCAATCTGTATGAAGACTTTTCTTTAATTGCTGCTAATTTCCACGTAGAATCTCAATACTATATTAAAATATCTATATACAGAAGACTTCTATAATTGATTTAAACAGAGTTCCTGTTCTTTTACATTTAAAACCCAAATATTGACTCATCATCACAATTAACAGGTTTCAATGGATTTCCACTTATCATTTGAAGATTTTAAAAAAACCTGGAAAGTCATATATTAAACAAAATCAAAATGCTGTTTTCTAATATGTGCTCTCAGTTACCAGCTGTCCTGCCACCCTTCTGGAATGAAAAAGCAGTCTTACCTTTAGTGGGCTTTGCTTCCAAGTACTTGCTACTGAGAGGAAGATCGGGGAGGTTTGTTCCTAATATCCAAGTTACTGCAACTGCATGCAGTTTTTGTTCACGTTTCCAGTCCCTTCCTTCTCTCTTCCCAGTACTGCCTCACTCTGGTTGTGCCAAAGAAACTGTGTTACTTGTTTTGACTTGAGTCAGAGAAGCAGGGCAGGTGAGCAATACCTTTTCAGCTCAAGATAATCAGTGGAGCCAAATCCTTCCAGGCACAAAAGGACAAGCTGACACATAACACCAGAAGGGAGGGACTTTATTAAACATCTCTTGCAAAAGTTAGCAAGGAATCCCCTAGTCCTGGATAAGCAGGGAAAGCTGAAATAACCCACTGCAGTCACCTCTAAGTCCACACATATGAAAATGTATTTTCTGCCTTTGTAACTTACTGCCAGAGAAACACGCTTTGAGCACTTTCTCTGATGATCAGCAAGAGACTTCATTAGCATGAAAATACAACCAGACTATTCCTATAGTTCTGTAATCCAATCAATGTGAAGGCTGTTTTTCCTAATGCTGTTTTCAATAGAATACATGTTATGCTCAAAAACATAATACAGTGGGACAACTAATATATATAAGCTGACTTTGTATAAAAAAGAACACCACTGAGGGGGGGGGGGGCGAAAGCCCTACTAAGCAGGTATATACAAACGTATAAAGGCTATTGCTTAATGCATTGTAAGCCGCCCTGAGTCTCCGGAAAAGGGCGGCATATAAATCGAACCAATAAATAAATATTAAATTTAAAACAGCTTTAAGAGGTCGTCTGCGGTACAGTACTGTAGAAAAACACAGCTGGGGGAGTGTTTAACCCTTTGTTCACAAGTAATTTTTAGCCATACGGAATTCCAGATGAGTTCTAAAGAACTTAAAAGTTCTAAAAAGAACTTAAAACTTAAAAAGCACTGGATAGTGGAAGAATCAAGGAGCATTGCATTTCAAAGCTGCTTTTTCTATAAAAATAGCAGTCAGCAAATGAATTGAAGGGCCCCTTTATTTATTAAGTACTGTAGTGTTTTAACTTTTATAAACCCACTCATGAAATCAGAAGTTTATCCAGAAGTTTATCCACATTTTGTAAACAAAAATGTGCAATTAATAGTATTTTTAAAACTATGATATTAAAGTGCAAAGTGTATCTGTTATTAATGTTTAAAGTCACCATTTTTCTCAAAGAGAGAACTAACAGAGACGGGCGCCTTTCAACTACCACTTCTCTATATACTGCAGTGGAAGAAAAGCAGCACTTAAAATATTTACTGATGAGGGATGATATAGAAACCTAAAGTAATATACACAGGTCCAGTTGGGAATGAAAGAAAAACATTAATTCAAAAGCAGGTTAGCCATTTCCTGCATTCAAAATATTTGCCATTACCGAGATAAAGGTGTGGAACTAAAGTCAGGCATATAATCACCTTTAATCCAGGCCCTGCAATAAACATACACTGTGAACTAGGTTTCATGTGGGTGGCTACTGTTATCTAAGCTCTGCGGCCTTGCAGATTGTGATGACTCAAAGCAATACTGCCTTTGCTTCAACTTTTTGAAGATAAAACTTACAGAATGCCCAACTCACCTAGAAGGCACCAGGCTGGGGAAAAAAAGAGGGACAAATCCTGTCACACAAAGGTAAGGCCCGTCCATTTGGCATCCCTCGAGCCTGCCACTATCAGCACTTGTGTCACAGGACAGAAAAACTGCCTCCAAGCATGATCATTAAACAACACAGTAGCTTCATCCAGGCTGAGGGCCAAAGCATTTGACTACATTTTAGAAAGTAGCTGTTAAGGATAAACAAACCCAACATTTGTTTCCCTTTAATTAAAAGTAAATATATATATTGGTATATATATGTTTTTAAAAATCAGGTTTGGCTTAGCCATAAATCAGCTTAATTGTGAGTGTACAGATAGTCCTCACTTAATGACCATCCGCTTAATGACTGTTCAAAGTTATGATGGCCTCAGAAAGGGTGCTTTACAGCCTCTAAAGCCCTTTCAACCATCATAAAGCATCATACTGTCCCCATCACATGACTTGGTGGCAACTGGCTTGCATTTATAACCAGTTGCACTGTTCCATTGTCATTGTGACCACAATTTGTGACAGCTTTTGCTCTTTTCCACAGGAAACAACAAAAGACACCCATTGGATATACTGGATTCACTTAATGACTATGTGGTTCACTTAATAACCATCGTAAAATTGACCACAAAGTCACGTAGGATCACATGGTGACCCACTTAAAAGCCGCCCCAATTTATATCCAAAATTCCAGGCCCAATTGTGGTCGTAAATCAAGGACTACCTGCATATAGTGATACTTTTTAAAAATACCCACATTTCCAATAGGTCAGTGGTGGCAAACCTATGGCACGAGTGCCAGAGGTGGCACTCAGAGCCCTGTCTATGGGCATGTGCACCATTGCCCCAGCCCAGCTCCATCGTGTTTCTCCCACAGCGGGCAGAGAGAGAGGGAGGGAGGGAGGGAAAGAGAGAGATAGAGAGAAAGAGAGAGGAAGGGAAAGAGAGAGGGAGGGGGAAAGAGAGAGAAAGAGAAGATGATATTGTTGCTAAACGTAATATTTCAAAAGCTGAAAAAAAATGAAGGGGCATAAAAGTGCATTTATCACGTTTCTCTTGGAACTCTGAACTCTGCGATGCTTAACATTATTTTAGATAGTAAAACATTATCCAGGTTAAATTGCCGTGTTGGCACTTTGCGATAAATAAGTGGTTTTTGGGCACTCGGTCTCTAAAAGGTTTGCCATCACTGCAATAGGCCCTTGTGTATAGGCCCAGTTGTAGACAAGTAGTCCCTCAGATTTTTAACCAAAGGTTATGGGTACACAAGATAAATACTATGTTGATAGTTTTACTTGTTCCAGTAAGTAGTCATTATAGAAACTTAGAAAATCAGGTTTTTTTTTCTCCTTTATGGTACAGATAAAATAAATTTCCCTTTCTATTGTTTCCTTATTCTATTTCCACTGAAAACAGTACAGACAAGAATATTAACAATATAAATAAAGAGCCAGCTTGTTGTAGTGATTCAAGTGTGGTCTGGAGACCATATGTTCTAGTTCTGCCTTGGGCATAAAAGCCAGCCAGTTGACTTTGATCCAGTCAGTCTTTCTCAGCCCAACCTCACAGGGTTGCTATTATGGGGGAAACAGGAGGAGGAAGGAGTGTTATGTATGTTTGCCACCTTGAGTTACCTATAGAGTAATAAAGGAGGTATAGAAATCAAGTCAAATAATAAATATTAGGAACAATTACATCAGCATGTGTTTGCTATTTTATCCTTTCAACAACATAAAAAAAAGAACTAAGAAATACTGCAGTTCAAGTTCTTTCGTATCCTACATTTCAGTCACGGATGCAAACCAATTAGCAGGTGATGGGATTGCCAGCAGCTATCCTGTATGGGAAATCACTAAACTGATAACTGAGGTTTCTTAGTGAAATATCCTCAGGTAAAGTTCTGCCCACCCAAGCTGGTCCCTGGAAGGAATATAAAAGGAAAAAAATATAAAAGCTGAACCTACCTGGACTAAGAAACCTGCAGTGTTTCTGCATTTTTTTCTTTTTTTTTCAGTTCTAACATTTGACTTGCTCATTAGCCCTACTTCTTGGCTTGTGCTTCAATCCCGCTTTGATTTTGGGTTTAATTTCTGGTTTGCCTCATTTGTCTATTCAGTTTTCACTCTTCAATTATTCTTACCCATAAAGTGAGTTCCAGCTCGCCTGAGACTACAGCCTTGGTGGTGCAGTGGACTAAAGTGCTGTTAAGTAGCACTTAGCTGCCAGCTGCCTGCAATTACTGCAAATTCAAATCTCACCAGGCTCAAGGTTGACTCAGCCTTCCATCCTTCCGAGGTAGGTAAAATGAGGACCCGGATTGTGGGGGCAATAAGCTGACTTTGTATAAAAAAGAACATTGCTTAGGTGGGGGCCAAAAGCCCTACTAAGCAGGTATATACAAAAGTATGAAGGCTATTGCTTAACTGATTTTAGCGTGTGTATCAATCATAAAGGCTCCTGTCTCGATTGGTCTACTTTGATCAAATAATTTGTACATCAAGCAAGTACAGCTCCGCACATGCACAGCAGTGCAAATCTTAAGCCTGGGAACTTTACTCCTCTGGTTTCGTTCTGTGTTTCATGTAGCCAAAGAAAATTTAAATGTAATGTTTATTGAAATAAACAAGCCCTCGGGGCCTATTTACCATAGCTCAAGATAAAGTGCCAAGCATATCTGTTGCAATTTTTCCTTCAACTTTGACCTCCATAGAATTTGACCATTGATCAAACTTATCAGCAAACTATACTACAGCTGTAAGAGCAGCCATATCTTTGAGGTAGCTGGCTTTCTTAGGGTAACATCACTGATGTCCGAGAAGTGATCATAGACACAAAGAACCTACCCCATGAGTAATGTGATGTGGATAAAGCAACAGATTTAACATAAGGAAGGCAGAAGTACTATTTCTTGGTGGAATGGTTTATTCAGTATTCCCAAAGGTGCTTTTTCAAGAGGCAACTACTGGACTGTCTGGTTTTTCTTTGAAGGCGTTTCGCTTCTCATCTAAGAAGCTTCTTCAGCTATTGAAAAAGCACCTTTGGGACAACCATGACCTGGATGACTGGGAATCTCCATAGACACTTATTCAGTATTCTGTGTCTCTTGAACGGGACTGTATAGTAATCCTTGTTTAGTGATCACAATTGAGACTAGCACCTTGGTCGTTAAATGAAGTGGTTGCTAAGTGAAACCACAAGAGTGCTTATGATCTTCAGCTTTCCTTTGCTTTACAGACCTGTGGTAGTAAATGCAGGAATTGGTTGTAAAAATTTTTACTTTATTTTATTTCTATACTGCCCAGCTCACTGAAGTCACTTGGGCAGTTTACAACAAAAACATGTCACAAAATATAAAAGCAGAAAATAAAAATAAAAATAAAGTTAAAGACACAATTAAAATATAGGGTTACATCAGGGGTGAAATGCTCCCGGTTCGGACCGGATCGCCCGATCCGGTAGCGATGGAGGTGGGTGGTTCAGAGAACTGGTAGCAAAAATCCCTGCTCCCCCC